ACCCGGGCCGTCGGCGTGCTAGCCGAGCACGTTACCACTAGGATAACGCAATATTACAATAATAAAATTTCATTAGGAGTATATATTTTGCAAAAGTATCGTTTTAAAAAATTGTTAATTTGTCAATTTCACTGAATATCTTTTCGATTTTCAAAAATTCAGTTTTTAAACGATCTTTCGATTGGTTAGCCATTTAAAAAAAATAAAAATGGAATAATTATTTAATAATTATTTAGAAAAAAAAAATGAATGACGGCGGGATCGAACCCTAGCCATCGGCGTGGTAGCCAAGCACGTTACCGCTAGGACAACGCGCTCATTAAAGAATATAAACTCATTAGTGGTATATCTTCAATATATTGAATAACTTTTTTCATTGAAATTCCACAAGATGTGGCTTCCCCCTTTCGCTCGTTCCACAGTCGATTAAATTTCAGTTAAACAAATAAAAAACAAAAAGCATTCATGCCGCAGAAAATAAAATTCACCCCGTCGACTTGATGTACACCCCAGCATTGCGTGTGGCGTCCTCCCTCTCTTGGGGTGCAGTACTACGATGCCGCTGGGGTCACTGAAAATAATGAATATATATATGTAATACATATAAACCATATATACCGACCGCGTGGTTGTACTTCAGACCATCTTAACCTCCTTTCAGTGAATAAAAGCATGTGTACAAACAGGCATTTGCCCCAACCATTAAACCCATCAGTGTAATGTCATATTAATTAATTAAGAAAAACCCACAAGACAATTATGTCGGCCCCGGAAGGAGACATAAAACACAAATCCCATCGTGAACGAAATGCCGGTCGAAAAGCCGAGAAGAAAAAATCGAAAAAGCCTCAAGCCGATGGATTAACCGACAAACAACGTAATCCAAAAGCCTTCACCTTCAATTCTGCAGTGAAAGCAGAGAGAAGATTCCGCAGAAAGCAGGACATCGAGACGAAAAAACAACATATCCCAGTAGTAGACAGAACCCCAGTGGAACCACCTCCAATTTTGGTAGCAGTTGTTGGTCCACCGAAGGTGGGTAAATCATTACTAATCCAATGTTTAATAAAAAGTTACGTTCGTCAGCCTTTGAGCAACGTAATAGGCCCCGTGACAATAGTCTCAGGTAAAAAACGAAGGATAACATTTATGGAGTGCAACAATGATATAAACAGCATGATAGACATCGCCAAGGTGGCAGATCTGGTGTTACTCCTCGTTGATGCATCTTTTGGGTTTGAAATGGAGATATTTGAGTTTTTGAATATCTGTCAAGTGCATGGAATGCCTCGAATAATGGGGGTACTCACTCATTTGGATCTTCTGACGAATGCTAAACAGTTGAAGAAGACGAAGAAGATCCTCAAGCACAGATTTTGGACCGAAGTTTATCAAGGTGCTAAATTGTTTTATCTCTCTGGTCTTCTACACGAAGAGTATCTGCGGAATGAAGTCAAGAATTTATCCAGATTTATCTCAGTCATGAAGTTTCGACCTTTAGTCTGGAGAACGACCCATCCTTATTTATTGGTTGACAGAGTTGAAGATCTGACATCACCTGAGGCTGTGAGGCAGAATCCCAAGGTCGATAGGATGATTAGTTTGTATGGGTACGTCAGAGGGGTTCCATTGAACAAGGAGTCGTCCATTCACATTCCCGGTTGTGGAGATTTGAGGATAAAGGATGTTAGCTTTCTTCCTGATCCGTGTCCTCTACCTGAGCATATCAAGAAACGGGCACTGGTGGAGAAGGAAAGGCTTATTTATGCACCTTTCTCAGGAGTTGGAGGAATTGTTTATGACAAAGATGCTGTTTATGTGGAGCTGGGTGGCAGTCATTCACACAAGGAGGAAGATACTGGACTTATTTCATCGTTGATGGATGCCCAGGGGACTCTCGACGAAAAACTGGAGAAGAGTGAACTGCAGTTGTTCAGTGGAGCGGATTTCATCAAGTCTGGAGAAGTTGAGGAAGAGATGGGCTCTGGTTATGGCCAGGAGAATGTTGTTGATGGGGGGAGAATTAGAAGAAAAGTTATTTTTCGTGGGAAAATTGATGATGAAGATGATGAGGACGGCGGGGAAGATGAAGATGATGAGGAAGATGATGGAATTGATGATGAAGATGTGGAAGAAGATGAAATTGATGAAGAGCCTGTCGAAACTCAAGAGGAATCTATTCGCCATGATAAAGCTGGTGGAAAAAGGAAGACAACCGCATCCGCAGTGGAAGGACTTCTCAAGAAACAGAAAATTGATGAGCAGGATGAGTTAGAATTGGAACTAGCTTCTTTGAGAGCTCAGGATGTCCCAGTAACTCCGGAATTTAATCCCGAGACTTCAATAATTCATAGACCCTTGAGTAGAAATCCAACTAGTGAAGTTAAAGATAAGATAACTGAAGCCCTTTCTAAATTTTCATCGATTTCTCATCAAATTAAATCGAAAAAACACTCTGAAAGTGAATCGGATACGGACGAGAGCTACGATGAACTGTCAGACAATGACATCGATGGAAAATCGAATTTAGATGACCTTGACGGGTCTGATGAGTCAGTATTGGGAGGAGAGGTGGATGAAAATGCTGAAGGAGTTGAAGATGAAGAAGATGAAGAAGATTTGAATGATGAAACTCCTCAATGGAAGTCAGACCTGGCGAAAAAAGCACGAGAATCATTTTTGAATCGTCAGCAATGCAATGTCAACCTGATGAAGCTCGTCTATGGGGTCGCAGATTCTAAAAAAAGTCAAACACCTCAGGGTAATGAAGAAAACGACGATGAAGAGAACGTTGGAGGAATTTTCCGAGTAGTTTCTGAAAAACAAAAACAGAAACTCGAGGAACGAGAGCTCAAGAATCAGGAAGAAACCATGTACTATTCGAGAGAGCCACCGAGGGACTGGGTATCCGAGGAAAACAAGCTCTGTCTGGTGAATCGATTTGTAACAGGGAAATGGAAGGAATCTGAAGACGCTGAAGAGCTCCTCAAACTCGACGACCTCGAGGACGACGAAGAGGAAGTCTTCGGAGATTTCGAGGATTTAGAGACCGGGGAAAAGGTCCAAGCGAAGGATTCGTCGAAGCCCCCCAAAGAATTAATCCCTGACGAAGCTGATGAGAAGAAAAAACTCCTGGAGAAGAAGAGAAAGCTGAAACAACAATTCGATTCTGAATACGACAACGCAGAGACCAAGAGTTATTACGATGACTTGAAACAGGAAGTGGAGAAACAGGCGCAGTTAAATAAATCTGAGTTTGAAGGACTTGATGATGACCTCAGAGTTCAACTCGAGGGTTTTAGACCTGGGATGTACGTTAGAGTTGAATTAGAATCAGTTCCTTGCGAATTAATAACGAATTTAGACCCAACGTATCCTCTGATCGTCGGAGGTCTTCTCCATGGAGAGGAAAATATTGGATACGTCCAAGGAAGATTGAAGAAGCACAGGTGGTATTCCAAGATTCTCAAAACGAGGGATCCATTGATCCTCTCCGTTGGATGGAGAAGATTCCAGACATTGCCGATATATTCTAAACTGGAGGACAACTTAAGAAATCGAATGATCAAGTACACGCCTGAACATGTGGCCTGTATGGCCCACTTTTGGGGCCCTATCACTCCGCAAGGGACTGGATTTCTAGCTGTTCAAGATGTGTCGACGAGAATTCCTGGATTTAGAATCGCAGCGACTGGGACTATTCTGGAGTTGGATAAGAGTACGAGAATTGTTAAGAAGTTGAAACTGACGGGAGTGCCGATGAAGGTCTATAAGAAAACCGCTTTTATTAAGGATATGTTCAATTCGACACTGGAAGTTGCCAAGTTCGAGGGGGCGAGGATCAAGACAGTGTCGGGTATCAGAGGAATGATCAAGAAAGCCATCAATAAGCCTGAGGGATGCTTCAGAGCAACGTTTGAGGATAAAATTCAATTGAGTGACATCGTATTCTGCAGAACTTGGTATAAAATTGATGTACCCAAGTTGTATAATCCTGTGAACTCGCTTTTATTGCCACTGGAGCAGAAAAACCAGTGGAAGGGGATGAAGACCACTGGCCAGTTGAAGAGGGAGGAAAATATAAGGGCTGTACCTAATAAAGATTCACTCTACACGAAGATTGAGAGGCAGCCAAAGGTCTTCAAGCCTTTAGTTATTCCTAGGAATCTTCAGAAAGAATTGCCGTATAGGGATAAACCGAAATTAGCTCCACTTGAAGGGAATCGAAGAAATAAGTTCGGGGATCGACGAGTTGCTGTTGTCAGGGATGTTAAAGAGGAGAATGTCGCCAAGTTCATGAAAATGATTAGAACGAATTATGCCAATAAGCAGGAGAAGCTGAAGGAGGCCACCAAGGCGAGGATGAGTAATTATCAGAAGAGGGTGGAAGCCGAGGAGTCAAGGAAGCTCAAGAGACAGAGGGAACTCAAGAAACAAGTTTTTCGAACCTTGAGTAAAATGGAAATCAAGGAGAAGAAGAAGAAGGAAAGCGGTAGATGATAATTCCTGTAAATTTATTGAATATATGTTGTTAAACATAAATATTTGGTTTAATTTTTTTTCAACCTAATTCTGTAGAAAAAAAGAATAACCTCGACGTCCATGAGTCGATTTATTTCAACAGTCGTATCACTTAAATGAAAGAAAAAAATCTAAATCCTTGATTTTTATTGGAAACGTAATATATAAGTTATAATATGATATATTATATAATATTTATTATTAGTTTATGAAAAAAAATCGATAATAACAGGATTAACATGGAAATGTTAGAGAATCGCTTGGGATCCTCGCCAGGAAGTTAATGTATGATGGCCCGTTGAATAAGTATCTGGTGTCTGCAAAAGAAAATGTAAAATTCGGAAATATTATTCTGATATTTTGTCTGATAATCAATTCATTGAGGATAAAATTAATCACCTGAGTGAGTACCAGTAATTCATCCTGCGTATCAACAATTCTAACTGGAAAAGGTGAGCCAGGAACGAGAACTCCAGCCCAACGAACTTCAACTCTGTAATCTCCAGGTTCGGTTGGATCATAACGACAGAGAATTATTCTGTCTTTTTGGGTTTCTCTCTGCATTTCCACTCGGAATGCACCTTTTGGCCCTCTGACTCGTACAGTCAGTTGTCCTGCCCCAGCCCCTCGGGTGTCGCAGATAAATCGAGATTGGAATGTCGCTAAGACTCCGTGCTCAATGCCTGGTCCATAAACTCTCACTTTAGAAGCATCAGGAGCTCCTGAAACCCTCAGAGTGAATGGCGAGCCAGGCACGTGTTCACCAGCATATTTTATCGTTAGGGCGTGTCTCCCAGCCTCCTGTGGTTTAACATTTAGAGTGAAAGTCGCATCGCCATGATCATAAAGCTCGCAATACGCGACTTTGTGCGGTCCCACGCAATGAGCTGTCAACTCCCCTGGGCCTGCTCTCCTCGTATCAATGAAACTTCGGATTTCTTGTCCAACAATTCCATTCTTCAGTCCGTCACCCGAACAGATTACCCTCGAAGCATCTGCAGCACTCGTAACATTGATTTGAAGAGGACATCCTTTCAATTGCCTTCCATTCCACGAGACAGTCATTAAAAGAGACTCGGATGTCAAGGGAATGTAACTGGCACGATAAACACTGTCTCCAAGATGTTGCAATAGGACATTCACTTCATTTGTGGGTGAGAAAAGCTGGACTTTTGGGGTGCCATTGCCGGCTTGTGATCCATCGATTGTAAAACTAACTTCCTCACCAACTTTGGCTGATGTCAGTCCTCTACCTCTGAGCATGACTCTACTAGTATCTTGCACTGGGGGTTCTAGTTCCTGAACTACTGCTAGCTTTGGAGCTCCTGGAAATAAAAATTAAATTCCCAAATTAAAATAAAATCCTTGAGTTTTCATTGGCACATGTACATCTTGCTTTCTGCAAGAGAAGTCGCAATAGAAATTTCAGTGTCTCCGAAGTCCTAGATATTTGCTAAAAGCTAATAGTAAAGTGAAATCGACACATCATTTCTCTCCCAAGAAAAAACGTAATACGCCCATATATCGAACAAGAGAGACATCAATGAGGAATGGAAATCGTACCTGGGAAAGGAACACCATTGAACAAAATTTCCATCTGGTGCTCTCCACCGTTGAGCTGTGGGAGGATTAACTTCAGTCTATTGTTGGACGTCATCTCAAAGTTAATGGGATGATCGTCAATGGTCCCTGTTAGCTCTCCAGGTCCTGCTTCAGCTGTGTCGAAACTTATTTTACTGTTCGGGGACAGTTTGAGGCGACCAACGTCGTCGCAAATAGCTGCCCAACCGCCGATGACTCTTAGGTTCCTCGTGTCGATGATTTTTGGGTGCCAAGGGGATCCTGGTAACTGCTGGCCTGCGCAAACAACTCGAACATCGAATACACCAACTTCTGTCGGGGTGTAAGAGATGTTCCAGATGCCTGGATTAGCTCCTGCCTCAATTGATGGCTTTGATACACTGTCTGGACCGTCAACCTGCACTGCTGGAGGACTTCGAGTTCCCGTAACAATGAAATGAGCCGGTTTACCCACGTGTCCACTCAACAAGCCTTCGCCCTTTGCACGGGCCTGACCCGCCGACTCCACAGTGCATACCAATGGGGTGCCTTGAATCGGTGTTCCTCCTGTTTTGTTGGTGTTAAACATTATTTATTTATTTTTACTTTTTCTGTGAAGGGGAATGGAAATGTTAAACGTGTTGCATCATTTTGCGGTTTTTCAGGAAAATTTTGTTTCGAATTTTCGTACGGTCTTTCGACCGGTATTTCGATACCGATTTTTTCAGGTTTTAATTCATTCATTGGAATTGTAAGTGTTTAGTATGACATTTGAAATATTTCGAAGCATTCTAGAAACTTGATAAGCCTGTTTTCTGCTTAATGCACGTTTTGGAAACTATTTCCAAATCGAGAGAAGACCGCATAATAATTATCAAGGAATTAAAGAAAATTCCTTGCGCTATGAAATTCAATTGTCATTTTATCTCGTTCTGCGTTCCAATCGTATTTCAAGGATTTGCATGTGAAATTCAGAAGAATATAATTATGCAAATAGATCGTGCATGCATTATTATACGACGTCACCATTTAAAGAGTTTGAATCACTAATGGAAATTATTCATTTCTAATGAGCGATTGTGAGAATGACTTGCCCTCATTTTTCGTCAATAGAAACTTTTTTTCACTGGTGCATAATTCATAAGATTTACTTTTCCTCAATTAAGATAAATGAAATGTTATTCTTTTTTTTCCTTTCAAGTGCACGGATTTCGTGAATGACTTGAACAAAAAAAAATTCACTCCAATGAATCCTCTGAGATTAAATGACTACTTTCTTTTCGTAATGATCGGGAACCGATGGCTCATTTATTTGTTGGTCACTATAAAAATCACCGATGATGTGGAACAAGTGATAAGTCAGTCATATCGTGAAAAAAAAAACCTTGCGATATTTTCTGCTCAAATCAATTCCTCTCCAAATATTTCTATCGAATTAAATTATGAATGTCCACTAACCATAGGTCACATTAATCATGTAAGATCCAGGAACACTCGGTGAAAATTCAATCATTTCAGCTCCGTCGTTGAGTGGTGTCACCTGAAGTGGAAGTTCTTGTCCCAAAGGACTTGTGGCAGTCACATCCAAATCTGCTACACCAGCCTCACTTTTAATCACTAAAAAAAATATATCACGATTGCCCTTCAATTGATATAATCCTTTTGTTTCAAACTCTTCAACTATTGTAAATTATTACACTAGAAAGATCGACTCGGATTGCTCGACTGTTCACCTGAACACTCACCGCAAGGCTATTTGAAAGTAGACTGCACTGTATTTTCCTCCCGGTATCGCGATAATACATCAAAAACTAGGCAATTAGTTTTCCCCTGAACAGCCTTGAAACATCTCTCAAGCTCTCGTGCATACACCTTGCTCTATTGCGCTTTCACGTTTTTACCAAACATTGTTATAGACTTTCGTGCTATCGAGTCATTAGTTAGCACGGTGTTTTTTTGTCTCGCATTCTTCACTCTAGTGAATATTAAAGAATATGACTTACGTTTGAAAGCAATACGGTCGTGAACAGATACAGTGGTGGGTCCTAGTTCCTGCAGTTTCACTTTATTTGGATCAAATGCTTGACAGAAGAATGGAGAACCCAGGATGGGCTTCGCACCTTGTAGAACATCAATCTTGTAGATTCCTATGGGAGAAATGGTACATATTTTTCAAATAAAAATTTAAAACATTTCATGTGATACTCAAGGAACCGCCCTTCATATTTTTACGAAATAGTAAACGTATTTTTCCAACTGATTCACCACTCACCGATAGAATTCGTAGTAAATTCAGCCAACAAATTTCCATCTCGATGCTGGTAGCACCGGACAGGTACAGCATTTCCCTGCGGTCCACTGATCACCACATCAAACTCCTTGCCTGGTCTCCCCAATGTTTCAATAGTGAACGACGTGACTTTACCGATACACGACTGGTACAAGCCAAGACCAGTAGCAGTGACTTCTCTGCCACCGGTAGGTCCCCTGACAGCCACTTCCAAAGGACTCCCCTGGATATGCACATCATTGTACTTAATATGAACCCGATGAGGAGCAGCCTTGGTAGGATGAAAGATGACCTCATAAACTCCACTCTCACTCTCCCTGACAACATGATCCACATCAACACCTCCAGCTCTAACAGACGCCACGATTTTTCCTGGTCCTGCCTCCTTCGACGCCACAACTACAATCGTTCCTGGTCGATGGCAAATAGCATCGGTGATCTCTTTAATCGTAACTTTACTCGGATCAAACGCCTGCAATGACTGAGAGCTAATAATCTTGTGCCCATCACTGAAGATAACGTTATAGCTTCCAACTTGTCTCGTTCGGACCTCGACTCTGTACAAAGTTGAGGATAATTTAGTCAATGTGCAGGGAATAATAATTCCATCAGGCCCAGTGACTTCGGCAGACACCGGACCATCGAGTCTTGGCATATCGAGGTCCATGTACGCAGTACTTCCAACTCTGATGACTGTTGGTCCATCTAATCCACCACCCACTACTGGACATTTGAAGGGACTTCCTGGTACATTATCATCGTTGAATGAAATATTTACGTAGTGAGTGCTAGTTGTTTGGGGGACAAATGTCACATCGTAGAGCCCTCGGGCACAGGCCACCACTTCTGCCTTGACTGTATTGTTGTTCGTGCTGACGACGAGTTCCAGGGTACCTTCCCCAGCCTCGGCAGCATCCACTGTGAATGTCGTTGCCTGGCCCAATCTGGCCTCGGTCAAGCCCGACACATGTACCTTCGTGACATCATAAATGTTGCAGGGAAAAGGAGAATTTTTAATTGGTTCACCATCCACGAAGACACTGACGTTGTGTCGACCAACTTCTGTGGGGGTGAAGCTTATGTTGTAGCGTCCCTCAATCGGTTCAATTGTTATTGGAATAGCTATTCCCGATGGAGGTGTTACGATAACATCGCAGTTGATTGATGGAGCCTGTGGATCTACTGTAAAGGAGATCTGTTGCTTGACTGCTCCCATTTTTAAATTACTCCCTGTTATTACGGCTTGACCGGCCCCAACGACTTTGCAACTGAATGGAGAACCAGGCACTGGTTCACCGTTGAAACGAACACTCAGACTGTGGACTGCCGCTTCTTGGGGCTTGAAATTCACTCGGAACTTTGCATTGCCTTCGCTTTGAACGTAGTTGGGAACGTTCTTACCGTTCACTGCGACGATTATTTCGAGATTGCCTGCTCCCGCCTGACTGGCGTTAACTGCAAGTCAAATGAGCAATTCAGACTGGTTTTGGGATTAATTTAGTAGCTAACTGGTAAAACCTGATGAGTCTACACTATTTTTTCGTAGGGATAACTCTCGAAAAAAACGGAAAAGGTGTGATAAAATATTTTGATAATTAATTTCAATTGGAAAATTTTGTAACGTGGTATTTCGGTCCCATTACTTGTTCCTCGACCGTTTACGCGATTAATTGAAGTGAATTAAGTCAATTCGTCTCAAAAACGAATAAATCCCATTAATGGGCCTAACCCTTAAAAAAAAAAATCATGAACCGTTTTGTCTCAGCTTTTTTCGGCGCATAGCTAAGTTAAAAATATATGTGTGTAATAAACGAGCAAAATATTATTCAAAAAAAAAAGTACTCACTACTGAAGAATACTGGCTTCCCGACAACTCCGCTGTTGATGTCCGTAACTTTAACTTTATCCGCATTATATGCCTTGACGAGGAACGGACTTCCCTCAATGTGTGATCCACCCAATTTAACTTCAACACTATGATCACCTGGAAAATACCGATTACGTTGTAAAATAACAAAAAGAGAACAGAGAGAGAAAACTTGTTCTAGCGTAATGATAAGTTATGTCATCGCTGGAATGAGTTCATGCTTGCGATGATACCAACCAACATCCTTCGGCGTAAATCCTGCTGTGTATGAACCGTGAATGCCCTGTTTTATTTGCACCGGTATACTTTCTCGCGTGGGCGAGAGCACCTCCACCGTTGGACTACCCAGAGATGCATCAGCTTCGATATTGAATGTTGCCAAACGATTCACCGATACTTTCTCCAGACCCTCGGTGATCATCACCTTCGCTGTGTCACTCACCTGTTTCAGGGCATTAATTACTATTTTTTTCTTCTCCAAAAATCCAATGATATAAAAAGTGAATCTAAGAAATGGTTCAGTGGATTCAATTTTTCAGATAACGAACACGTTTTTATTTTTATTTTTTTTTGCCTCTGTGAGGGCGAGGCATATTAATTTATCTGACGATATTTCAAAGCAGTTGTCGCAATTTGATATCGCGAAAATAAATCCGCAAAATGCACTGGACCTTGCGATGAACGACGGAAAAGCCATATGATTTAATGGGTACGAATGATTGCAATATTTTTTTTTCATCTAATTAGATATTTCTTCAATTTGATCGCATTGCTGTCTCCTATTAGGACCAATTAAAATTCTGAGACCCAAACCTATAAAATTTTCCAGATATTCAGGTTTTTCGAATTATATAATTTGAAACCTGAATAATACGCGTATTACTTTCCATCTGAAAAAATGATAAAATTAACAATTACTTGACAGCTGAATGGACTGCCAGGGACATCTTCGGCGTTGAATCTAAGGTCCACAGTGTGGACGACAGCTTCCCTCGGTGTGAAAGATATGGCATAGGTGTGAGGACCCTGTGCTTGGGCTGACGTAGGCACTCTCCCCCCATTGACAGTTACCTCAAGATTCCCTGGTCCCGCTTGGCTGGTTTCCACTGCCACAAAATTAATAATTGCATTAATTCCCTCCTTCGATTTTTCAAATGACAAAATGTTCATCCCTCTTTATAATTTTCAATTTCTCGCTGAAATTTGGATGATACTTTGATTAGATACGATAAAAAAATGGAATAAAAAAATTCGTACCTAAGAAGGTAACTGGCAACCCCACAACACCTCGTTGAGCATCTTTAACTTTGATAGCCGTAACATCATAAACTTTACAGCTGAATGGGCTTCCAACAACCGGTACATTTCGATGGCTCACTGATATTCTATGCTCACCAACAACTCTCGGTGTAAATGCAACGCTGCAGGTAGTGTCTTTGTTGTCAGTGACTTGTGCTGGTACAGCCTGTCCATTGGGTCCTATCAAGTCCTTGCTTGTTAGTCGTTTTATACAATTTGTTCATTCAATTTCAGCCAAGGCCAGAGACTATTCATTATTGGGACGTTCTATGGCTCTTCCCTCATGAAACAATACTGTTACACTTAAATTGCACTAAAAAGCTCAACTAGGTTAAGATTGAATAACTTCATTGTTAAGCCTTGATTAATAACTATTTGAATTGACTTGCCCTAATCAGCAAGAACCACCAATAACATTGAACGCACCTTTCATCTATCTTATCTAACGCATTTACCATGCTTGGCACAATTTTTCAATTGTTGAACAATTGAAGGAGAATAATTAAATTAGAGAATGTTGGGTATAGCACCTGGTGAATAATATTGCCCCTAGTAATTAGTTGGGATAGATGTAAAGAGGTAATTGAATCTTAAGAAGCTAAGTAGCATGTTAAGTACCCACCACCAAGTTCGTTAGAGTCCACATTGTTAGTGTTAAATATCTTGAAAATGAGTGTTTGAGATTTTGTTTTTCAATATTTGAAGGAGTCTAGTAATGTCGTAGTCTGAAAGCTGGCCGACCTGGAACAGATACGTATGTTTTGTTTTTTCCTTTTTAGCCATTTCTCATTTTTCATTGGATTAGATTCAGTCCAATTTGTATGCACCCTTGAATTAAATCAGATTAATCGACTGAAATGAGACACTCAATTAATTATAGATTAGACAATTGTGGTAGACACATTGATCCCCAATAAATTAGAAAAGTTTGTGCTTCTGACAAATAAAACAGATAATCGTGATAAATGATGGATCAGTTGGTGCTGAATAATTTGGTGCAAGACGATAATTCAGTCATTAAAATTGCCAAGTTGTTTTTTTTTTATTTATGCGGAGTTTTCTTACCTTCAACGTTAACTTCTAAATCTTCCAAGCTACCGGAAACATTACTGACGGTCAAGTGACTTTGACGACCGAGTGCAGCACTGCTAAGTGCCTGCCCACTGACAGTTACATGACTGTCACCACCCACTCGAGTTATTATTGGACATCCAGGTACGGTTCGTTTATTAAACGCTATGTTTATAACATGCTCGCAAGCTTCGAAGGGAACGAAACTTACGGAGAACCGAGCGTTACCCTGGGGAGTTACCTGAGTGGGGATGTTTTGACCACGGGCGGATATTGTTATCTCGAGGTTTCCTTCGCCTGCTTGACTGGCATCCACTGCGAGAAATTAAAGACTCAATTAATGGTTTTAGCCCCAAATTTCGAGAGACATTTTTTTGGAATACCCTCAGGACGATGTCCACCATTTCGGTTTAACTCACCAGTGAAATGAGTTGGCTGACCGACATTACCCCTTGCAACTGGTCCAATTAACACTTTATCAGCGTTGAATGCCTTCGCTAGGAATGGCGTACCATTGACAGGGTGGCCATTGTACTCAACACTTATTGAATGTACTCCAACATCACGAGGAGTAAATTCAGCTGTGAATCCACTGTGAATATTGCCTGTTACTTTTACAGGTAATTCTATCGTTGGCCCTGGCAACAGAAAAAATATTGCAACTAAATGGATATAGAAGTTGAAAGTCCAGATTTATTTGCCATAACTCAATTGAATGGATTCAGTATGATTTAATGATGAACTTTCAATAGAAAACATACCCCTAACGGAAACGGCCAATTCTGCACTTCCACTCCCATCAACAGCCATATGAAAGCTAGCGGGCTGATCGACAGGAATGAGCTCCAGATGATTTAAACTCAGAATTACCCTGCTTGTATCGGATACATTGCAGACGAAGGGACAACCTGGTACTGCTTCGCCATTGAACTTGATGTCTATCAAATGGGGTTTGGCAATGTCAGGAGTAAATGATACGAGGCAACGACCTCCACCAACCACTTGCACGTGATTTGGTACCTCGCCCTCATTTATGGATATTTCTAATTGACCTTCACCCGCGGCACTCGCGTCAACTGCAAGAATAAGTTGAAAATTTATTGCAAATTCATTTCAATTTTTTTTTGTGCAGAGAAATTCCGAATTTTTCGGATTATTATTCCGACATAAATGTGAATAGCAAAAATGCAATGTTCAATTAAAAAAATTATCGACCGCTGTAATCACAGTGAGTTGATTTAATTCTGAACATGGAGTATCACTGAATCACGGAGGAAGTGAGCCCTCACCTGCAACCACTCATTATCGAAATAACCGAGTAATTCAATGATAACGAATGGATTGATCAGTTGAATTTACCTCTGAACTGACAGGCATGACCAACAACGGCACTCGGCACATCAGTTACTTGAATGAGACTGCTATTATAAACTTTGGCGATGAGTGGTCCAGCCGGTAGCTTTTGTCCCGCGATCCTCACCTCCACAAGATGACTTCCAACCTCGTTGGGTGTGAATTCAACCCGAAACTCTCCGGGTCGCCCTGGCTCCTCATCGATACGTGCAGGTGTATGTCGCTTAGAAGGCGCTAATCCACAATTAAAATTACAATTGAAAATTCCAAAAATACAAATTCTTAATAACATTTTTATTATAAAATTCTGTGGGAAAATATTTTTTTTCAATGAGCGTTGCTCATTTAAAAAATTTTTTTTTTCAGTTGTAAAGTAATAAAATATTCTCAGTGTATTTAATGAGTTCATCAGGTATTCACTCACTTATTATCTGCACGTCAATCTCTTTACTGGTGAAGCCAAGGGCGGAGAGTTCGAATAACGCGGGACTGCCAGCGGGTACCAGCCTGACCGAGTCCCCCAGGACTGACATCTTCGGACCAGGCATGATTCCCACTCGCCAAGGTGAACCTAAACCCCAAAATTCCACTCAAATTAAACATCACTTCATCGATCCACAAAAAAAATCACTCCACACAAATTAAAATGTAAAAATAATAAAAATAATCTCTCAGTGCACACGAAAAATATTCCACGCAACCATCAGGTCTTATTATCAAAATAATTGTTCTCAATTACATAAACATTGGTCATCACTCCATACCTCAATCACCCAAAAAATATATATTCCCTGAAATAGAAAAATTTACGGCGCGGCGACCGATTTTTTACCGGTGAATTTACGGAAATAACAATTTATGAAGACGATTTTAATTATTGAACGGTGAAAACGATCGATGCATCACAGATTCCAACGTACGGGGCGCGACCACAGGATTCACTAATCTCCGTCGATGGCTTTTCTCGATCTACCGAGACGATTGATGGAGAAATCCATTTTTCTGACACTGAAGGACTGAAAGAAAATATTCAACTACACGGTGGACGATGGGGGATGGATAAATCGAGATAATTCGAACAAGTGTTTAGGGGAACGGAGGAAGTGTTTAGTGGTACGTCAGCACAAACGATTCACCGATTCCGAACGGACTCAGCCGAGGAGCAAGACAAGTGTGTTTGCTCCAAGTCCGCCACTCCAGCACACCATTCTCAGGGACGTACATATCCCCCGAGACTGTCATCACATTCTCAGTGAAATTTTTGGTGAAATGGAATGCAAGAAACCGTAAAGGAACCGGTACATTATGTATCCCCAGGGGAACCTTCATTATTGGGTCAGACTTTTTTTTTCTTCGTCTTCTTTTCTTCTCGACTTTCAGATCTTCCGGTCTATTACAAAAAATACTTCCGGTTTCAATTGTATATGTACGTAGGGAACATTGGAAAGTTCGATTGACCTTCATTTCTACCGAATTTGGAAGATTTTTTTTCACAGGCTGGGGTTTGGATGGATTTCAGATCAAGGGTGCAAGGAAAAAAATTCCAGACTGGTTTGCAGATGTCTCGGGGAAAAAGCGGTTTGCAGAATGACCTGGAGGATTATGTTCTGGGAGAATTGGAGAAATTTTGATGCATATTCACTGATTTCTCTTGGGACATCTGTGTTTATGATTAATTAAATGAAGGATTTATTTTAATCGATCTGAATTATGAATCCGATTAAATCTGCATTGAATCATGTTCACGAAAAACGATTCAAAGCCTTTTCCTAAAAATTTCACCTAAACCCCATCGATTTTTTTTTTACAACCGACGGAAAATAGAATTAGGAAATGAATGGATGAAGTCTCTCATTGGGATTTTCTTGCCATAATGCATATCGGGCACTGGTACCACTGCATCCACACCTGGTACCACTCCATCCATCTTTCCTTGGCTTCTCCCTCCATTGCACCCCAATCAAGACACTCGATTCACATACATACACTTCGAGAGATCGGATGCAAATACAAGTCCCTGGGAGACCGCATTCTACTCACAAAAAAAATAAATATCCTCTAACAAAAAACGCAGAGTACGAGGGTCACCTGTTCGATCTCGTAAACGATAAGACATGAAAATAAATCCTAACGAAACGATAAAATGAATGAAAAATTTCTCTTCAGACCCGAATATATCCCCTCCAATCACGGCATTTTTGTAAATAATAATAACGGGAATTCGTGGAAATTTTTGGCATGAATAAATAAAATTCGTAAATAGTCCCCCCACCAGTTTGATAGTGACCTTGGATGTGGGTCAGAGCTGAGACAATAAATTCTGGTTAACTGTATCGAGGTCTATTTATCTCCTTTATATTTGTACGTCAGGTTGTACTGAGTAAATACCGAAGTAGTTGGTACGTTCATTGAATGTTTCATTGAATCATGCAAGACTTTCATCTAATCTCAATGTGGAATTCGTCTCCTGTGCTGGTTGGCACGCGTTGAAATCACCGCTCCCAGTGACACAAATGCCGATGGTCTTCTCCTCTCGTCTCTCTTTTTCATCTTTTTTTTATCTCTTTTTATCTTCCCTCTCGTCCATAACCCGGTGTAAATACCATTTCCAGTCTCGTCGGGCAAGTGAACTGCGTCTCGCTTGAAGGACTTATTATTTTTTTTTGGGGGGATTTCCTTGGAAGTCACGCTTCAAAGGGCCATCCAAGGCTACGCACCAGATATTCCCAAGGATTGCTCCAATAATTGACAATTGCCACGGGAAAAATCAGTGACGTAAATTGGTTATTGTTGCCATGAATATATTAGAGGTACCTTTTCCCTTCGATTGCCACAAGAATTTTCTGGACAAGTACTTGCAATCGTGAAGTTGTGAAATTCCCCGGGGTCTAATTGTTTTATAATTGATATATCCATATCTGCTCTGGTATTTTGTTACATAATTTTGACAGCTGTTTAGATTTTCATGGCGACGAATGGAATGTGAATTTCAAATGCTAATTAGTTCCAGAAATATCTAAATTCAATTTATCATGCTGATGATATTCAAACCGGTTAATTCACACCGGCATAATATTTCATAATCATTATCATCATTATGGATACTTAACACAATTGCAGGGAGGATTAACAGGCGTGAATCGAATGTATAATTGCGCAATACCGTCTTCCTCATTGGTAACTTCCTTTCTAAAGTACATGCGTAAAACTTGGGTGTAAAAACCTCTGGACTTCGGTATATCAAATACGAAAACGATCCGCATCATTTGTTGATATCGAAGAAATCGAAATTAATGACGCAAATGGTAACGAAAGTCAATTAAACTGGATAAAATTATGTATTCAATGTTATTCGCGCGTTGAATTATTTTTCATTCAGGACTTGGCGTGTTGTCAAAAAAATCATTATCCAATCCAAATGAAAGACTCGAAAAATTATAATAATCGGATATTCATTCATTTATTTATTATGATTTTGTTGCGTAGAGATAGGTAATAGAGTGAGCATAAATTTTGATTAAATCGAAAGTGAAAAACGGTTAGTCGGTCTGGTGAGAATGAGATGTTGGAAAAAATAATCTGCCAATCCACAATGATATTGGGACATAATTTGTTCACTCTGTTAGGGCTCGTGGATATTGATCGAGTGTTGAGATAAATTTTAACGTTGAAATGGGCGTGATTGGCATTCTCAATTGTGGGCTTCCCGAGTGCAGTTGTATGAGAAATGAGGATAGAAAGACGTGGAAAATATTCCGCCTCCTCTGAGAATTCGATTGACAAATAAAACTTAAATAATGTTAACAACTGGAGGGAATTTTTCCGGTTTTTATTGGGGAGTGGGCGTATTTCATTGGGCAAAACCGAAATTATATCAATAAACATTTAGTGGAAGGATCGATTCCTCCAGAAAGAATCATGTAAAGACCCTCAAGACTCATAATTAAATGAATGATGTCAAGTAACAAAATAGAAGGCATTAATTATCGCGTCATTATCACAATGAGAATAATTTTTTTCGACGGAAATGGTAAAAGAGTTGGATAGTGTGGGCTTTTGAGAGGTGTAATAGGAAAAATAGTGGGCGTGGATAAGACACGTTACCAAATACGTCGGAGTACCTTAGCATTGAGTAGTGGCCACACCTAAACTGTCTTCGATATATGAGTATTTAGCAGAATACGGAAGGATTGACTGTACAAGAGAGAGAAAAGTTGACTGCTGAGCTCAGTGTGATTCGGGTTAGTGGGACAATGCTGTACGTGTGAAAAATTAAAACGTCAATGACCCTTGCAGTCACCTACACTGGGAAAAGAATTTTTTCCCAAAGGTCCATTTAGAAAATTAATAATAACCGTTGGACCTGGAAGATAATTAATTGGGAAATTGTCGTTTTGAAGGAATTAAGAGATGAAAATAAATTTTTTTTTGAAAATCGATGAAAAAATATTTTTGCGAGAATCGATGAAAATTATTTTTTTGGAAAATTCACGGGGAAACTCGTGAGTTCCGAGGAGCGGACCTCTCCATGAGTCCGAAAAAAGATTCAATTTGATTGGGAGATGAAAATATAATTTTTTTCCAAAAATTTGTGGACCATCACCCATGAAAATCGATAAAAATGAATTTTTTTGAAAACTCTTGCGAGAACTCGTCAGTTCTGAGTAGCGGGCCTCTCTATCAGTCCAAAAAAAATTTAATTTGATTGGGAGATGAAAATATAATTTTTTTCCAAAAATTTCTGGACCATCACCCATGAAAATCGATAAAAATGAATTTTTTTGAAAATTCTCGCGAAAACTCGTGAGTTCGAAGTAGCGGACCTCTCTATTAGTCGAGAAAAAAAATTAATTTGATTGAGAAATGAACATCAATTTTTTTTCGAAATTCGATGAACATGAATTTTTTTCGAAAATCGATGAAAATATTTTTTTTTCGAAAATCGATGAAAATATCAAAATATATCACTCGAAAAATTCCAGACCAGAATAAAAGTCATAAATAAAGTGACATTATTCTTGGAAGGATTTCCAGTAAGAAAATATTCAAGGATAAATTTTACGATTCCTCACAGGATAATAAACACGAGAGGAAATTAAATAATCTCTAATGCGGAGCGGAAAAATGTTGAAACGAGAAGATTCAGATTTCTATTCCCGCGATTCTCGAAGCAAATGAGAGGCGACTCCACAATTTCATTCCTGGGAAAAGAAATCACTGAGTCAGTGACCCTGGAAAAGTCGGGTTGAATGTCACGTACGAAGAAATATTTTATTTCAATTATGAAATATTTCCGCGCTGTATTATTATGAAAAAACATTTGCATTCAATAAAAATATTTAATTCCAGAATGCACGACTCCACGAATATTTGCACTTCACGTTTATCAGAATATGATAGATAAGCTTCTAATTATTTTAGCATTGAATGACGTTAGAATAAGATCTAGGGAAATCGCTTTTCCAGAGAAGTAATTACTAAAAAAAAATATCATTTTATCCTTACATCATCCAGATTATCCACAATTGCATAAATCGTGAATATCTTTCCGTCGACTTTACATAACTGATCTCAATAATTATCGAATTATCTCAGTAATAAGCGGCATTAGAAAAAATAATTATGAGAGCTTTTCCCGAGGAATCCACCGCTTTCCAAAATAGTTTCTAAACTCATAACTATAAATCTCTAATTCCTGTCATGACCAACGAAAAATAATCAGTACCGAAAGTTTATATTTGAATTAATAATAAGTTATTACACCAATTGTTGAATTACTCATCCAAAGTGATAGTAGAAGAAATGGTTGAGAGCCCTTTCGAAATTTCGTTCCAATATAATGCCTTCCTGTGGGCATTGCGTAATCAACGAATATTCCACGTCTATTCCACCGCATTACATCATCACACGTGTAAGTACGACTAGTTTTTTTCAATAGCTAGTAGAAGAAATTATGATAAAGACTCACCAGGGACAGTTTCGCCATTGAAAGTCATCTCCACGAGATGAGTTACAGCCTCATGTGGTACAAATGATGCCAGAAATCTCTGACTGCCGAGTGCACGTACAAAACTCGTCACATGACCGCCATTTACAAGAATTTCTAAGTTTCCGGAGCCAGCTCTTGAGCCATCGATTTCAAATTCCACCGGTTGGTTGACAACTCCATCAGGAATATTATCCACTTGAATAGCTTTAGCATCATATGCTTGAGACCTGAATGGAGAGCCCTTTATATGTTGTCCATTTACCATAATCTGAATTATGTGTTCTCCAACATTGTCAGCTGTTACAGTATACGTTTGACCTCTTAAGGTTGATTTTTGGTACGAAACTTGTTTTCCATTGGGTCCAGTAATTGTCACAGTAGTTTTCCCAGCATCAATACTAGGATCTATCGTAAAACTCGTAGGTTTATGCACCGGCAGAACCTCCAAAGCACTTCCAGTCGCCAAAGAATTCCCCTGCCTCTTCTCCTGATTCATCACAAAACTCGCTCCATTGCTGAACCTCTCGCTGACCCCATCAATCCCATCAACATTTTTCTCACTCTTATAATAATTATTATTTTTATTCTTGAGGATTCCATGAGTGTAGCCTCTTCCATTGCCATTCTCCCCATTGAACTTTATCGAACTACCGTAATCAGCACCAGTAAACCTCTGACTGGAATAGTTACTAGAATTCTCCACATGACTCACATGATTAATCGCATAATTATTATATTCACTCCTGTCACTCCTCTCATTGCGATAATTGCCATTAACCTTAGTGTTGTTCTCCACTGATGAGGAATTAGCAAGATTAGCCAAAGACTCGAGACTCCCATAACTCAGCATGGCTCGAGTCTTGGCAATGGCGTCCCAAGAGTCTCTCCTGGGTCCTCCACTGGATGAAACCCTGACATTGCTGCTAGTATCAATAACCCCATTATCAACTGATCCTCTTCTCCTCCCAAAATCCTTCTCATTACTCACTCTAGGACTGAAACTCCTGTTTATTGGGCTTCCATTAGAAGGTCTGAATCCCAATGGAGTGGTGACAGGAGATCGTGATCGATTAAATGAAGAGGATTGATAGATATCCTTAGATTCCTTGATAAGAGTTGAGCTCTGAGTATCTCTGATGGTATTGGATGGAGTATTTGGTGATCTCGATCGATTCAGTGCACTTGACGCGTAGATATCTTTAGACTCTTTAATTAAACTTGGACTCTGGGCGTTGGGAGATCGAGACCGATTGAAAGAGGACGAGTAGATCTCTCTGGATTCTTTGATCAGAGAGGGACTCGAGGGGAGTGGTGATCTCGAGTTGTTCAGAGGGCTTGGTACGTGATAGGCTGAAGAGTTTTCAGTTGAGTAGTTGGAGGTTTTATACGACTGGTGATGAGAGTAGTCTCGGTAGTTCTGGGTTGGACTCTCTGATGATCGTTGGGGTTGCGCGCTGCTTTTGTACACGGGAGATTGTCGTTTTTGTGATGGAGAATCAGTGATGTTTAAACCATTCATTCGTTTTTCGAGGGACGATTTTGAACTTTCGAGCTTGGAATTTTCTCTTGATCGTCTGCTCTTGTGTGTACCAACACGAATGGAAATTGGAGAGCCACGAACGTCGGAGCCGTTGAAGTAGAGGTAGACCCTGTATTTTCCGGCGTCTCGTGGATGCAGAGAGACTCTGTATCTCATATGTCCAATATCTTCCATCCTGAATGGAATCGATTGTTTATCGTGAACGATATCAATGTTGATGTCTCCGAGGCCACCAGTGCCTGTTGCATCGACGATAAATGATAAGGGCTGACCTGGCATTGCGCCCTCAGTGTCGAGCAATTTTATTCCATTGGGATCGAAAACGAAACAGGTGAATGGACCGCCTTGTATGTGAGTTCCTTTATGGGTTATTGCAATGCTCCATTCCCCTGTTTCGTCGGGTTGAAATGTCGCAGTGTGAACTCCACCGTTTTCTTTGACGGGACAAGGCAGAGATCGTCCTGTGGGGGACCAAGCGGTAACGTCAATGCCGTCATGACTAGTTCCGTAACTGTTGACTAGAACCTCGACGATGGAACCAATAGCGCATGGATCCATACCCGGGGATTTTATTTTTGTTAACGGAGGTAACACCCTGAAGTAGTAGGGACAGCCGTTGACGAGCTCACCGTCGTTATACACCATCAACTGCAAGGTATGGTCGTAATAATGATTATTTTTTATTTATATTGAATTGCAATGCTTCTATCGGCAATAATAACTGAAGGAGTTATTAGTAATTAGGAGTAATGAACCTTGTGCATTCCAACTTCGGTAGGGACGAAGGTGCCTTTCCCGTGGATGCCGTTCCAGGTGAGTCGACACTCTACCTTTCCTGAGGGGCTTATTATCTCACCACGAACCTCTCGAGAATTCGCCTCTTTTGATAGCATTTCTAATCTAAATATTGCCTGAAATAAAATAATTCCGATTTTTCATGCACTGAGAAGAAAATATACCTCTGCTGCAATTTTTTTTCTAACAATACTCAATTATTGGTGAACTCTAATTCTCAATGGACAATAAATCCAACTGGTTAACTAACCGGCTGTTGAACCCTGGCCGATGTACTTTCAATGTGAACAGCAATTTGCTCGCTGGCCTGAGGGCGAGGCTTAACCCACTGGAAGTGCGCAGCATATGCCATGACACCCAAATGTTCAACATTCTGATCAGCCATGTCTTTAGCCTTGAGAATGGGCTCAACTCCAAGCTTCTTGGCACCATCGATTCCCTGCTGGATATTTGACTCCCAGTATGAGGGATCAGGATTTATTTTGTCATACATGGGGGCTGGTCCCCCTAGATTCCTCACAATACTGCAGAGCGCTCGACCGTTATTCCAGTCAGTCTGAAAGACATCAATCAGAAAAAAAAATTACACATCTTTACTCCTGGCTGATTTGCCAATGATTTGTAATCAGTTGAATCTGTCCACCGTGAAATTCCGAACTGGCGCATGAGTGAGTTGGGAGTTGACCCATCTGAGGGTTGCGTGGAAACCTGGTGAACCCTCCTTCATGAAGTAGGAGAGATATGTCATACCAGATAGCTCATCGAGATAGGGTGATGCCAGATACTCGGGTTCTAGCACCACTGGAATGTCGAATTCACGTTTAGCTATTTCCATAGCTTTTCGACAGTTGTAAACACTGGAAAAATTTATTTCATTATCAATCAAGATGGATAAAAAAATTATTGGCGAAATAATAAAGACGAGAGGTACAGCGGAAGTCTCATTCGGTTCCAAGAGATTTTGTGGAAAAAAAATGCACTTATCCTAGTTCACCATTTCGCAAGGGAATTACAGAACAATGGAATTCCTCGGAAATGTCACTTCGAAAGGTATTACTGTCAAAATAATTATCAAACGGAATGTTTGAACTCACCTATCGGTACGATCCAATTGTCTCCAATGGGGAAATAATCCAGGATTACAATAATCTAGTAATGCACTGAGATAAACCCCTGAATTCCAGTCAGTGGTAAAATTATTTACCCTGCACTCCGGAAGAACAGCCTGTGCAATTGAATAAATTATTCATTCACATGATAATACGATGTAAATAAATCATTGTCATTGAAATATGAAGATGCGTCATAAATGATGAATTTCACCGACCTTGAGCCAAGCGAGCATGAGTTTCCTCGGTGGGAACTTGGATTTGCCAATTTGGTATCTGACAATGAGAGACCATATGAGACCGAGAATTAACTTCAAATTACCATTGACAATGTCAACGTTACCTAAAACACCAAAAAAGGGAAATTAAGCCAAAGTGCAACGTAAAATTATTATTACCACCGTAGATGAATGATAATTTTTTTTTTCATTTTTGCGGTGAATCGCCAATGAGATTTCGATAATTTATTGTTCACCTGTGGAGGATAGCTCATAAATCATTATCTAACATTTGTTATATTAGGTCATAAATGATGTAACGAGTATGTAAGCATATAAAGTCAAACATTGGAACACATTTTATTATCCAACCTGGAAGACGCTTTGAATATCTCGAGTCGTTGCAGTTAGTCGATACGATGATAGGAAATTTAATGATTCCAGCCGATTGTTAAATAGCATAAACGGAAAATAATTAATGAGTACCGAAAATAATTATCAGTCATCATTACTTTCAACCTGTGGTTTTATTCTGTTTTGTTCTTTTTATCGCTATATTCGGAAATTATTATCTATCCGAATGAATTAAATATGACGCAATGACTCTCGAGGAAATTTCGGAAAATTCGATTGGCACTCCACGATTTTTCATGTTCACTGGAGATTCTGGGAATTTGTTGACCAGACCGATGCAAAAAATGACCAATTAATTAATAAGTTGCGGATAAATGTGTGACAAATGTCGCACGATAAGAAAAATCGGGGATGAATAAAGGTAGAAGTGAAATCTGTAATTCTTCGGTGATAAAATGCCAAACCATAATGCGCTGATAGAAATTTCTCAATTTTTTTTTGATTAAATTCAACATAAAACGTGGAGGAGTGCTGTGAACCCAGGTGGGCGATGTTCTAAGCGAGAAAGGCAACAACCTCGCGGGCTACTCATTGCCCAGTTTATGATGCAAGATACCTCACCTGAAATTCTTTTTTTTTTGCACCGAAGAAACTGTTACTCTAATTAAAATCAAATTTCACAGAATTAATCCCTACCAAACAGTACGTGACAAATGCTCGTTATAATGACAATGTTTTCTCTAATTCAAAAATTCCTGGAAGTCATCGTTACCGGGATAATGAGGATGACCATGAGAAGGATGATGATGCACTCGAGGAACTGGGTCACCAATGCAGTGAGTAAGGGAAACGTCGGTAAATTAATACGTTCAATTGAAAATTTTGTCTCTTCCTCGTAATAATTTCAAGGACTTGAATCGATGAAAGTCTGCAGACTCCTCGTCACGTCTATATTTGGGATATTAACGTGGGTGTCCAATACACCAAACGAATGCGCTTATGAGGGAAAGAATGCCGCTAGAAATCTAATCGTTTTCTCCATTCTTCAATGAGGAATGGGCGAAAAAAATTATTGATTCCATTTATAATCGTAGGTCCAGGGAAAAATGTCAGAATAATTAATTGGAAATAGATTCTGTCTTCTGATGGTCGGTCTCATTTAATTTGTCATTTTCAAGTGTCATTCCTTTTTTCCTTGATAACAGAATGCATCAATGACCTTTCTCAAGGCTTTTATCAGGAGTATCTGATTTCCAGAACCAGTTCACACGTACCAAGGTGGTTTTCCACGAAACAATACGCGGAATATTACTCATCAGCATCTGGAATGCCTTGACTCCACCTTTCAGTGTCGTCTTAATTACTTCTGTCACGAAGATATTTCCTACTGGATTGTCATTTGAGATTAGTGAGTGAGATGAATCTATTATTTTCATATAAAATGATAGTATTGGCATCAGAGTTGTTGCTATTCAACATTCCAGGATAACTCCGGATAAAAAAAATCCCAACCCTTGATCCTGATGACAACATCTGATTGATAATAATTAGAATCAACAGTTTACAACATTTAATTTCCTTTATAGACAGTTAATTGAATCTGAAGTGAACTTTCTACGAGCGATTTTATAGAGATAAATAATTACCGATGTTAACGAGCTTGACGCCGTCAGCCTCAATAGCCTGGAGTGCAGTGGATACGTTCTCCAGGTGATGGTGCTGATTAGCAGGTCTTGGGTTCCACCTGGGCAATCTGCGTTTAGTCAGGACTTCAACAAGTGCACAAAGTCTAGTACCATCCCGAAAGTCCTCAGCTAGATCAATGACAGGCCCACCTCCAGCATCACCAGCATGTTTCAAGTGTTCATTCACCCAATTTCTGAAGGTATTCGCCTGAATCTCAACCCAAAGATCCTCATTTCCTTTTATCGACATCCCCTTGGCTGCTGTACCCTCAGCTGATCGAGCCACCAAACCCACCAGCTCCTCCGGTCGCAGTTGCTCCACCGATTGCATTTTTAGTTCTCTTTGTGAATTAAATTCAATTAAACTCAACACTTGGTTTCTTCAGGTGAAGAGATTTCTTGTGAAACGCTTTTCTATAATTGAGTGAAGCTAAAGGTCGGTAGATGACCCACATTGTAACGATCGCATAGACGACCAATGTTTCAGGATTATAATTCACGAATGGATAAGATAATTTTTATATTTCTTCATTGGTTAAAATAAACCGAAATAAAATCTACAATCAATCACCAATTATTCGAGGGATGGACTCATAAAAAAATAGATTGGATCAATAAAATTTGAGTGGAATAAATTTTCCCCCGCGTATTTTAAGCCTGACTCTCGTATAACGTATTCATAGAAAACTGTTTCACGACTGTAACGTTATTTCCCTTCTTTCCTAACATCTTGGAAGGAGATGAAACAGGACACTAAATACCGGCCACAAGAATTCCGTTAATAAAAAAAAAGAGAAAAATGAAGAGAGAATGAAAAAAAGTCAAGACATTGACTGTCATTTGCGTATCACAAGGCAAACCTGCACAAGTGGATGGAGTCCTAAGGTTTTCACACGGGTGAAAGTAACGAGATTGCTTATCTCGATGCCAACAATGTGCAGGTATGTAACGTGCTTTCATAGAGATTTCCGTGGTTCCCATACCATGGAAAATCGAATGGAGAAGGAAAAAGTAAACAATAGGTTTCTCTCGATACATCGATATCGATATGACTATTATTCACTTCATTATTTCCACTCGATGTTTACGCACTTGGATAATAATCTTTGAGTGACAGCACGAGAAAATTAGCTAAACCCGTTTTTCCTCTCTTCATTGAGGCGACGTTAATCACGTGCCGTTTATAGTGGTGTACTTAATTTAAAAAATAAAAATAACAATCAAGGATTGTGACTCTCGGTACGAGGATTACCTCAACCCAGGTGACATCATCGGCTGGCCATCACCATGTGCGTCGCGAATTCAACGAGCCGAAGGAAAATCATCAGGTCAATTGTTAATTTTAAAAACTTGTGTAAACATTGATTAATTTTATGGACAGCTCCTTGTGCGATTGTCCCTTGGAATAATTCAAAAGTTGTGGATTTTTTTTTTATTGAAAATGGTACCGGAAGTGATAAATTTAATTTGGAAATTTTTTTTACCGATTATTCTTTGACGTAATGTTAAATTCTATTTTTAAAAAGTTCCTTAAGAAGGATTTTGCGGTTTTCGAAGAATTCTAGTTGAAGAATAAGTGGAAAATAAATGGAGTAAAGTTCTAAAGATATGATTTCGACACATTACTCATTCGTGTTTGAAACTGATAATTTTTGGTCTTATCTATCCCCATAAATATGTTAATTCTCCCAGAATAATAAAGTTTTTCCATCATATCCCAAAATTGAATTAGACCGTATCTTCCCATTGAATTACTGCAGAGGAAAAAAATCCTTGAATTCACATAAAACGTAAAATCCGTATTATTCCCTTCTTGATAAACTCGACATGAGTAACTAGCAGCATTGACGGTACCCGAATCGAAAAAAAAACTTAGTATCCTCAATTTTTTACCAAAAAGATAAGTTTGACAGGGACTGACGGAATTTACTCGACAGGAACAATAAAACTATTTCCGTGACGCCATCCCGTAGTGCCAATTGGTTCTGAGATATTCCACAAGAACCAAACAAAAAAACAAATGTAAATACATGAAGATCGAATGAACACAAGAAATTTCTCCACCTTGACACATTTTTCTCAATGCATTCACAAAAAAAATCACAAAAATCACTCACTTCTCTGAATTCACAAATGTCGAGAGGATAAACAAAACAAATAACCCGCGCCAATTTTCTCCGTTTGGTCAACCGGGGAAAGTAGTTCGGAATTTCTTCGCTCGATCAATCTGGATTAAAATCGATGCAATCCCCGTAATGTGTGATATAAAAAAAAATGAGAGATGGATAAAATGGTGAATGTTGCGACAACCAGTGAGGAACAACTTGGTGGGTTTATTATCGTTGAAACGCCATTTTTGGCCTTTCCCGTGGGTTATTTTGACGGATGTTGCGAACACGACGAGCCACCGCATACGTCAGCTCACTCACGACTTTTGGGCCCCACTAGATTCAACTTTTGTTGCCACCAGTTATCCCACCTGGATCCCCACCTCTCACCAATTTTACGTTTTGCTCTCTGTACCCTCTGTACTAAGAAGAGAATTGACTTCGGCTTTTCCACGACGATCCCCCACTACAGTCAAATACCTTCAAACAACCAATAGATAAACACCTGAAGAAACGGACAAGTGAATACTCCTTTTTTACTACTCCAAATATAAATAAATGTCTTTAAGAATAATCAATAATAATCACCATCATAATTCGTTATTACTAAAAAAAAAATGGGAAGAGTAAATTGAATAAATTGAATCAATTCTTAATCGGTGAACATAATCCCAGAATTGGAATAATTTTTTTCAGGTTGAAATTTCTTCCTGTTAATCTGAGGCATGCGATTAATGGTACATGAGAGGAATGGAAATTTAGTGGGGACAAACCCGAAGACCATTCTTTCGTGGTGATAAGTTAACTTTGGATACTCTCGGTACTCTGGGTACTGTGTATTTTACTGGCGGGGATACTATGGCGAAACATCAGGTGGAAATAAACGTACTGCCAGGTGTGGGACAACCTGTTGGCTCTTGTGGTGCCCGAAGATGGGGGACTTGGTTTTTTAACAGAATCGTGGGACGAAATCGCGGGACAAGGGCCTTTACCTGAGAATAAGATCTACCTGAGATCTTTTCTCTCGAGGAATTCTTCTGAGAATTTCAGATTTTTCGCGCTGAGTGGAAAATTCGGGAACAAGGACACTGGATACCATTTTTTTTGTTCGTCATTTTGTCCGACGGTTTTCCGAGATTTCGATGAGAACACATTTTTTTATTTTTTCAATTTTCCTATTCAATTTTGTGAGCCATGAATTTTTTAGAGTTGCGATGGAGGATTCATACATTTTTTAATATGAAAAACGATTTTTACGTTAAAAAAAATTTACGGATCCAGGGTCTTCCAGAAATTAAAATAAAAAAACATGAAAAATGGTAAGATATCGGCAATAATTTTTTTGAGTTTCAAAAATTTTGCTGAAGCGCAATCATGAGTGAAATTCCATCCAGTTATGGTACTTAACTCTAGTACTTGGCGGTGTTATTTATTTTATGGGAATTTTCTGGATTCATTTTCTGGATCTTCAGATTTCACAGGAAAGTACTCTGGGTTCCGTACATTTTTTTAAATGACATTATAATAAATTCGAAGGGTTTTAGATTATTCGAATTATTATTTTATTGACGTCACAGGGTATAATTTTTTTTTCTCAAACTTGAATTGAGATCGGGTATTATTTGTGATTTTGATATAACCTCAACAATGTCAGGGAAAACGCTGTGCCGGTTATGTGGAAGAAATACTAAAGAGTATGTTAACATGTTTAGTGATGAGGGATTAAAACGAAAATTGGGGATTAAAACTGCGACTTGTCTTCAAATTCCCGTAAGTTCAAAATATTTCATCATTTTTGTCCCAATGGCAATGGAAAATGATGATAAAATCTGACAACGAAAGCAACTTGTGACAGCAAAAAAAGCTGTTCTCTGAAATAAATAATTCTAGGTCTCAGTTTGTGATGTGTTACCAACAATAATTTGTCACCGCTGCTGCGACAGACTAGACGACTCGTACGATTTATTTGAAAGAGCATCAAAAGTCCAGGTATTTTTGGAGAGTATTTATCACCCAATAAGTGAACTCCAGATAAAAGAAGATCCAGACTCACCGAATCCGGAGAAACTAGATGAACTATCCCAGCAAAAATTATCAAAAAAAGATGGAAAGAGGAAAAAAGATATGCCCTCGAAACCGAGGATCTGTGAGGCTCTCCAAGGTTATCCCTGGACCTGTGTTCTCTGCAACAGCGGAGTCCTTGACTCTCTCCAAGATTTGTCTCAGCATTATACGAATTCCCACAATCGTCCACCAATTTTCAAATGTATTCACTGTGGAAGGCAATACGACAGGTACCGAAGCTTCTCAAAACATTGTATGTTGCACCAGAGTCCCAAGAAGTTCGAGTAAGAGATCCAATTTTTTTTTCCAACTACCTTTTTCCAGGGTCCTGCATTAATCGTGTCTTTTTCATACCAGATGTAATATTTGTGGAAAAACATTCAATCAGAAGTCAATATTGAATGCTCATGCCCTCGTCCATACCGATAATAGACCTTATCCCTGCGAAATATGTGGAAAATCATTCAAAAGCACTTATGCATTGGCAGTGCATTCTAAACTTCATTTGCCAGTGGAAAAACGATCGAAATTTTCTTGTGAACTTTGTGGTAGAATGTGAGTAAAAAATTATCGACAAAATTATGAATATTTTTACCTATTCCCTCTATTTTTTCAATATCAATAATAAAAAAAATGACTCAGAGTTTTTTTTCTCCAGATTCAAAACAAAAAATGCTCTCGAGTGCCATGGAAAAATGCACAATGAAGAAAGAGATTTCCTCTGTGATATATGTGGAAAATCATTTGTGTCTAAAGGTTCACTTATCACACATTTAGGTATTCATTCTGAGGAAAAAAGTTATGCATGCAATATTTGTAATCGAGGGTTCCGGACTGAGAGACTTCTCAGTAAGTATTCGCAATTATTTTCTGATTAACTGAACTAGATCCTCATAATTGATATTAATTGATCTCGATGGTTAATTGGATGGAATTTTCTACTCAATAGGCAAACACTCGGTTTCTCATACATTAATGAAACCGTATCAATGCGAAATTTGTTATAAATCATTCCGAGAAAAGGGAACGTTGACAGCTCACACGAGGATTCATACCGGAGTGACGCCCTATAAGTGTGACATCTGCGAAAAAAGCTTCAGATATTTGGCTATTTTAGTAGTGAGAATCAATTGTTGTATTTTCTCGTTAACCTATACATAAACATTATCTTTAAAATATTCTATAGGTTCACAAGCGTCAACACACTGGAGAGAAGCCTTATACTTGTTCAAACTGCAACAGAAACTTCACGAATTCATCAAATTACAAAAAACACTTGAAAAGAATGCACAACAGTCTCACAAATACTGAAGACTCGAAAGAAAAAGAATCAGAAACTGTAATTGCAGAACATGAATTGACAGATATGGAGCACATACAATCGGAAGTTGTAGTAACGTGAGAGGTCTTTGGTTGTTATTTCAGCAGTTCAAGAGTTGAAACGTAAATACATAATTATTTTTTTGCATCTTGTTCGTGAAATTATTTAAAAAAATGGGTTACGCCAAAATTCTGTGCCATGAAAAAATTTCTGAATATGTCTAAAGTCTTTGGATATATTCTTCTTATTTTCCAAAATAATTACGTAATTCGCATGAATACAAATTGAAAAAGAAAATGGTTATTCGACATTTATTTAGTACATCACCCTTAACCAACCCCAAAAAATACTGAAATACCAGAATTGATCGTTGATTCAACTTTATTCGAAGAAAAATCGTGCATAACTCATCAAGCATATTTGAAATCATCAGAAAACAATCGAATGAAATTGTTTTCTTTCACAGTCTTAAATTCACATTGAAATTTCACTTCATTCGTAGGTACATTTAATATTAGTATCACAGAAAATTGTTCTTCAGCGTCAGAACAATTATTGTCGTTTGTTAAATCTGTCCTTTTTGATTGGTTCTTCGATCAAGAAAAATGAAATTATAGGAAAACAATGATTAAAGAAGTGAATCGTATGATTTACATTTTCCAGTTTTCTTTGGTGTTTATTCGTCTTTTTAACATGGGAAGACTTGCGATCACCAGTGAATTTAAGGCAACACGGTATTTCTGCATGTCTTTCAATATTTTTTCTCAAAATATTGTTTCTTTTTTTAATTTCCTATCAATCCTTCACATTTTTCATTCTCCCTTAGATGGATTCTGTAGAATCAATAGAAATGGTAACACGCGATAACTTAGCTAAGACCTCATCCATTTATTATTGCAATACGAATTTTAATAGGTGACGAAAGTTTCAGCTGACAAAATCCAAAGAAGGGGAAGGCTCTCTGCACATTTTTGTCTATAATTAATAATTCCCACGGTAATGTCATAATTAATTAAAGGGGACAACTTGTGTTGTGACATTTCTGACGGTTGCAACACATAATTCATATATTTTACTCAGCTGTGACACTTTGCTCTCTCGAATCAGATGGTCTCATGAGTTCCGCACAGATGCATTCATCAACCGTAGATTTTAGGCAGGTATCAGTGCAAGACTGGCTGTTCAACAGTCTCAGGGAATTTTTTGATGATGGCCGCTCATATTTACAAATCACAGCGTACATATCACCACCCAATCGTGTCGCTAACCATCGATTTTTTACAACAGCGAGTTTCAGGCATTCGCATTTTAATTTTGCATGTAGATTTGTGTGGAGAGTGCGACCCATTCCCTCGATCACTACCAGATCTACGTTGTGTTTAATCATTGCTTTGCAAAGATCCAAATTTAATCGACTGAGGTCCAAGCAAGGTCCAGCCTGTGCTGTCTCCATGGCCATCAGTCTGTTCTCCTTCAAAGCATATTTTATATCCTTACAGACTTTTCCAGCTTCCTTGAGAGTCCCCAACAACTCTGGATAGGTCACATCATTGAGAGCTGGCATTGAATTGGCGCATAAAATGACTTTGGTTCCTCTCTGCAATAAATCTCTGACGAAGGGCAGAATTCCGAGAACAATATCAACCCCACTGTTGTCCACAAATATAGCTGCACAAGTGTGAGAAGTCTCGTCCTGGAGCCTTGAAATCCAGTCGTCCAAATCATCCTGTAGCCAGGGTCGAGTAGGAATTTTTCTCTGGGCATCCTCGAATCCAAATGTCGAAGATTCCATGAGGTCTGCCACTTCTTTAGCTCCCCAGTCAAACATATTTCCAGCAAGAACACCCAAAACCAATGCTTTCAGCTTCTCCTCACCCTCTAACTCATCCAAAACGTCCAATCGAGCTTTTAAATAAGTCATAGCTTCTTCATTCTCTTTTTTTTTCTGTTGAAGATAGGGATCTGGGAAATCAAACTCTTTCATGCAGTGCTCAATGGTGTCAAGAAGAGTCCTCACGGTTAATGCTCCATAAGCAAAAGGTTGAAGATGAAGATAATGAAGCCTGTTGATATACTTCTCCTTCAATTTGCTTGCACGATCTTTGGCAGTGGGACTCTGGGGCTGACTATAGATCGCCCTTGCGATAAATTTGTCAATTGATTCCTCGAAACACTGCAGCCAATAATCTCTGGCCTCCTTATCCTGTGCAAGATCAGTTGTATCTGGGCAATAAGAGGCAGGATCTCTCAACAGTGGGCAAAATGTCACAGCATTTTCAGCTCTATCAATCTCCAGTTGATCCATCTTAATCCCCATATCCGTAGCTATTGAATCCTTGAACCCTGAGCTTCCAGCGTAATTTTCGAGCCAACTGTACTCATTACTCTGCTCAGCCCCATAGAGAAAAGCACCAATAGCTCCTAAATAGCCTTCATGCCTCAGAAACAATGGCTTCACTTTTCCTCCTGACCAGTACTTGATCGCAAACGAGATGGTGTGCATCGACAATGGATGATTCCTCAAGAAATATCCACCGAAGTAAACCTTATCCATGTTGTGGATGGCGGCATATAAACTTGCTATTTGCCCGATGTCATTGCTGATGGTGAATAGAAGACTGCGAGCAACATCAGCATCTGAGTAGCCTTTAGCACCTTGGACATTATTACAGGACATGGCTTTACCGAAGGACGAGGCGATTAAGTCACCAGAGAGTCCCTGGGATGAATAATCACCTCCGTATATATCTTTCACCAACATATCGACATTTCTGTGATCACCTCTCTCTGCTAACTCCAGCAATTCATCAAAACCTTTGGCTTTTGTGAGAAGAGATCCTAGTCCCCAAAATGTTCCTCCTCCAGTCGCTGTTCCTCCCACCCTCTCATAATCTCGTTCTGACTCAACTTTTAAAATGCTAACACCACTGCCAATGTTCACTAAAAGATAAGGAAAAATATTGGGACCAGCTTTTTCGAATTTGTATTCTGGATTTCTGTGTCTCTCAAATTCAAATGCCTCGCAGGGGATGTTCTTCAGGAGAAAATTGCAGCCCTTGATGAGACAGCCTATTTCGTCCTCTTTATCCACCAGGAGGCCGAGTTTTGATTGAATTGATGAGGTGTATTTGTATGCTCCACCACCGGTCACTTTGATGCTTTTCCCTTGAAATCTCTCGGCGTTCACCAGGTGTTCTTTCACGAAATCGAGACAATCCTCGATGTGACGGGTTTCAAACTTGACGAAATGCAGACGACTGCCTTCTTGCAACTTGTAGGTACCATCACCTGGGGTGTCACTGTCTTCCCCGTCGTACAAGGCTTTTCGGTAGCTAATCGTGGAGTAGTAGGCGATTTTCGTTAGGGAGAGACCTGAGAGATTTATGAACATTACTATAAAGAGATTGAAGAGTACATTCTCGTGACTGAATTTTTTCTAATTACCCCTCTAATTGAATAACTATTAAAATTATATATTTAATGTTCAGTCTAAAGCCCAATAATCATTATTATTACAACTCAATTAATTTTAACCTCAAAGACCAATTTTTACGATGGGTCATCTTTAAACGTCAAGTCATGTATTTTATTTACCTATGTCGATGGCAAAATTCTGGGCATTTTTTAAATTAGCAAACACTTCAACAGCTGGTGGTAGTTTAATACTCTTAGGGAGTAATTGAGCTTCATCCACATCTGCCATTTTCTCACTTCTCAATCTCAATTATTCTCACAATAATTTTGATCTTTATCGCGATTCACTAAATACCACTGGAGAAGAGATACACATTACTCGAGCGTTATTCTGGTACTGAAATTCAAACGAGATAAGATAGATAAAATATTAACATTTTATCGTTGCTGTGTAAACAGCTGTTCCAAGCTCTCCCGGAAGTGTAGTATATTTGCATTCGCAAATTCCCTGAGGTACATGAGATTTAAAAATGGTCGTGTTGACCCATATGTCGATTTTCGGAATATGTACGAGAGCATGGAATTTAAATGAGAGAATTATTCAATAAAAATTACGGGGCAACTACTTAAAAATTAATTTTAATCGAGAATTGCAGGGACGATTCGTAATTTTTATTGCGTATTTCTTGATATTTTTGTATTTTGTAGAAAAATATTTACGTCTTTATTATACACTTAGTGAATAAATACAGTAATCACGATTTCAGTCACAAATTAATGTAAATGATTAATTGATGAGATTATGCGGCTTTGGCGGTTTTAGCTTTTGAGGATTGGGGTAGAAGTTTAAATTTGGTACTTCTGAGAAGATTATAGGAACCGAAGTGGCAGTAGTCCGGGGAAATGAAGGGGATGTAGAAGGCTCGGAAGAACGGATGAGACCTGAAATAAAAATGAATTAAAAACGAAATTATTTTACTGTTATTTTCAGTTCACGTGTATTTTCCGTGACGAGGAGAATTGATTAATGAGAAAAAAATAATTTCAGTCAGAATAAATGTTATAAAAAATTATTTTAATTATTTTCACGTGGCGCCTTTTATGATTTCAAGATAAAATTTGAATTCTTACTTTGCAGGAATTAGAAATTCCGATGATTTGACGATTGTAAAATTATCTGTTTGTCGAGAGTAATCAGGCTCCAGTTCTGTCTCGGTTCCGGTATCTAGATCCACGATGAAATGGCATTTCTCAATGTCAAACTGAAAATAAATTGAAAAAGATCTAGATACAGTCTCTAGATTTTTTAAAAGTAAAAAATCCAACCGTTTACATAATTACTGCTATCAACATAGAGGCAAATATTTTTTTACTTACATAACGTGACGGCTCTTCTCTATTCATATCATTGAAATGAGGTTGAATGATACTTGTGGCATTTTCAAGAGATGAGAAAGGCTGGGGAAGTTGTCCTCTAAACTCCGATTTTAAATACTGGAGTTCCCAGTTATTAGATGGAAAGAAAAAACTTCCTGGAAACCGATGCCATTCCTTCCCCACGCAAAAATTAACGTGAATATCATTCGGTACTTGTGCATCAATTCCAAGTTTATTAGCTTCAGTCAAAATTTCCATCGGTGCGTAATACCCTTTGAATAAAGCGAATGACCTTGAGAGCCCCAAGAGACCACAGATAATCATTGCCCCTACCGTAATGTGCGATGTTCCTTGGAGATAGTGAGAAGCGTTTGCAAAGGGTTTTATTTTAGTCCTAACGAAGAAGTACAGCTTCTGAATACAATCTACTGTTATTGCACCTCCCAAACATATCATAGGGTAAATGGGAAAGAGAAAGCGTTCCTCTTTGTGCGGTTGAATGAACATGACAGCAATCCATAGGTACAGAGGAGCTAATGATACCCAGTAAGGCAAACAATAACGATGTCTTGGTCTCGCAGGAACTACTGCCCAAATTGAGAACAATGCCAGAGGAGCTACCAATGCTCCAATAAATACGAAATTAAAATTCAAAAATCCATTGATAAAGTAAAAGGTAAAAGGCTCAGTCCCATAGAGATCAGGTCCATGACTGGTGAATACATTGTAGAGAATGAGATTCAATGGGGCAATCACTAGTTTTCCGTAATACATTGAGTCGAGCCAGATCATCGGTGCAAGGACTACAGTACCGGAGAGGACGCTCCATTTTATTAATTGTATCCAGTATTTTCTCGCCAACATATCCAGAACGATTGGAACTCCGAGAAGAGCTACAAATGGCCAACCGAGGAGGGTTGAAATAGCTGTTGCGAGAATTGACAATTCGTATTTTCTGCCGTACCAGGCCGCTGTGGCAACTGTACTCAAATACATTGAAAATGATGATGGCAAATATGCTGCACTGGCAATGAACATTCCGGAGCTGGTAATGAGGAAGGCGTAGGTCAGCCTGGCAATGTGAACTCCAAATTCTTTGCAAACATTCTGATAGAAATAAACTTCGGATAATGCACATCCCACGGACAGCAAACACCTTACAAAATAAAAAACAAGCACAGGATTCGGTTCTAGAATGTAGGAGTAAAATTTTGCTGGCACCATATGAATCAGGAGATATGTGTATGATCTCAGGGCGTACTCTGGGCTGTATTCCCATGTCTGTTGGCCTTTTCCGTATAATAAGTAGTGGCTCTGAAAATATATAGCCCTTTCCATTTAGTCTGTTGAGATAATAATTATTCAATCAACTCACAGGCTCCCAGTAATTAAATGTTTCGTCACAGTCACTGATATAACTCCAAATAGCTGAGCAAAATCTAGCTGTCAAAAGGAGCTTGAAGGCTATGTCACCGCCAGGATAAATGAGCGGCATTTCAGTCGGAACTTCTTCTGGTCTGCAATAAAATTGAAAAGCTCGGAAATTCACTTTTTGAATTATCAATATATTACTCGACCTGTCAGCGAATTATTATTCATCCAAAAATTCGGGTGATTTTTTGGAGCAAGGGAGTGAGGTTAGCTTATTTAAAAAATGGCATTTTGCATAAGGCAGTGGAAAAAATTAAATTCACTTACTTGACTGGTTTTTTGACATTATTATTACTGTTATTTTTATTATTGTTCTTCTTATGATCCTTTTTAACGTTTGACACTTGTCGCTGACGTTGACCCGGCGCCATGGCAAATTTATCTGGTTATCGATTACATGCCACACGTCCTAAACAATCAACATCATTGAATGGAGTTTTTACATGCTCTACGCCAAAGAGGATTGACTAAAGCAGAGGCTCAAGTCTGGAGGTTTGATTGACTCTAGTGACATCGTAGTACTGCACTCCAAGAGAGGGAGGGCGACACGCAATGGGGGTGTCTGCCTCTACGAACGTCAGTCCTCTTTGGATGGAACCGCTGTTTTGATCGATCGACGTTGTCATGGCATCAGTTTTAAATCGCAAGAGGAATTTAAAAGATGGAGGTTGAACCCAAATACACATTTTTCCTCGCACCCGAGAAGAATTATCCAGGATTAAATGATAAAAGTATTGCACAATTAATTCAGAAATGGTAATGAATAAATAAAAGATATCGTTGTCTTAGCAATTTTGTTTATTCACATTGTTCATTATTTCAGGGGACTGAATTTGATGATTCAAAATTTCGTGTTCAATGAACCTTTTCATCAGTACCACAAGTATTTGCTGGCAGAGGTAATTTATTTATTGAACGTCTTCTGGCATAAGTCTATTTTAATTCTTAATCCGAAATGAAATGTTAGAGTTTTTATATTTTCTGATGACTACTTCGTCCGTTTTGCAGGCATTTTTCAAAAATAATGAAGTATCAAAATATTTGAAAATATGGGATGGAAAGTATTCATTCTCAGAGCAGGGAATCGTTGCTAATGAAGTAGAAATCAATCAGATCCCCTGCACAGTTCTATCAATGGAGTTTTTTGAAAGATTAAAAAATCCCGAGAACAATATTGTTTACAACTCCGGAAGTATTCGACAAAAATGTGAGGAGCAAATCGATGGGATTTTCGTGTCTGACAATCTTAGAAAAGTGAGGGAATTTTTTTTTCGTGTATTCACCGATATTCTATTTTTACTCCGCTTAATCGATAATTCTCCAGTGGAATGAATCTCTCAGGAGTGAAATTTTATAGATGCTGTTGGATGAGGAATCCAATGAGTTCCGTTTATTCTCGAAAACGGAAAGAACAGAATTCATTTTTAAAATTTTTCAAATGCTGATCCTTGGAGGGGAGTATTGCCAATACGAGGAGCAATTGGAACCTTATCTGGAGTGTACGAAGAAGATTTATAAGGATCTCGTGAGGTCTGCTAGTAGATTTTTAAATGATTATCGAATATCTGATTTATTTATTTAAAGGAATATTCTAATCCCATATTTTTCGTATTTCTTTTCGGACTAATCAAGAGGTCCGCTACTCACAATTCACAAGTTTTCCCGACAATTTTCAAAAAAATTTATTCCCATCGATTTTCAAAAAAAATTCATTTTCATCGATCTTCAAAAAAAAATTCATTTTCATCGATTTTCGAAAAAAAAATATTTTCATCGGACTAATCAATCAATTTTATTTCCCCGTATTTTTATTTTATCGAATTATTTCAGAGTCCATAAATTGGAAGACACAAATACTCCAACGATTTCTACAATGATACTCGAAGTAATCGCAAAGAGAGACGAGCCATATTTCCCAAAAGCTCCCACTCACAAACAGAACATTGGATTTCTATTGATCGATCGTAACACCCGTGAAATAACGACACTCCTTCATCAATTTGGTACATAAATTATGAAATTTCCACTCATTAAGCTAATAGATATAGGATCAAAAAAATAATTAAAACAAAAATTTAAAATAATTTCCAATTTATTAATAATATTCAAAATGATTCATTCACAATGAAATTGTCGTTACAACAATTACCTTTGGTTTTGTTCTTTGTCATTGATCTTAAATTAATATCATCGTCCACTTTAGTATTACGTCAATATCGCAGAATTGATGTATGATTAAAAAAAACATTTGAAAGAAAAATACGATTTAAACTCGAAAAGTTCAGCCTAATATAATCAACTTAAATGAATCGAATGAATTAAGTGAAGAATGAATATTACAAAATCAGTTATCTTCAAGTATTTCTCTGGTTTGCTTCAATTGGTTTTGGTTTCCAATTCTTAATCCTGCTAAATCGCTTTGCAAAACTTCTTCAATATCGAGAAAATAAATCACAGACTCGTATTTTTTCCCCCTGAATTAATCAGGAACGGTAAAAAAAATGTATCGCAATTATAAAAGAATGGAATTGGCACGTAAAACCCCCTTTCAATATTAATTAATACATTACTTAATCACAGCACATTTGAATAATTACTCAATAGTGAAGTGGTGAAGAACAAAAGATTTTAGTTTATAGAATTTTATGGCTTTCGGCTTATTCTGCAAATATCTTTGAAAGGAAAGAAAAAGAGGTGTCAAGATATAGTGGTCCATTACATTTCACCAGAATTCTGGCTCCGGACAAATCGGCTATATACATTGTCAGAGTCACTCCTCATGACGATCAATTTTCATTGCTGCTGTTTTTTAACGTAATTCGATATATTAGGCCCTTTTGTGGAGAATTTTCTGGTGGAAAGAAAAAATCCATGAAAAATTTTCTGTGCGGAGGGAATTGCCTTCAGAAATATTTGCAAAATCAACTCTAATTTTGGACCACTCGAATTTAACCACTTCGTCAATGAATTCATTCAAATAATTGATACGCTTATCCTGGCGAAGTCTCATCTTTGCAGTAACAATATTTACGCAAGTGATGGAATTCATGCTCGACACATCTTGCTTGAGATCCATATTTGTTTATCCTACTGACGTGCGATATCTGCGGACAAATAATAAATAAACAAGAGTCTGAGTACGAAAATTTTCAAAAGCAGATATTTCCATTTTTGTTGGGAACGAGCGAATTAAGATCGATCATCGTAATTTGATAGGGCTATTTTCGTCGGGGAAATTACCTTTGTACTGAACGTGTTATTTTCGACGTCATGATCGATACTGGCCTCAAAGAGACCACCACCAGGTTGGGTCCTTACTTTCAATTGATATATCTCATGTGTTAATCGAGTTTTAGCACTGAAGTCACCAATAAATCCGTCTTTATCCCCCGACTGTAGAAATTTGAGTAATCCTAAAATAAACAAATAAAAAAATAAAATTGGGAAAAAAATTATTACTCTGATAAGGTGTCATCCATGATCCCGTGGGAATTTCTGAATATTTGCGAAATGAATAGACTATAATTGGATTGCATTCGAATTGCATTTGAAATTTTTTCTGGAATTACCTTTCGTCGGGATGAGTCTTGCAGCCCACAGAATCTGATCCAACTTCAACACTTCACATATATCTCGATGATCCTCACTATAATAATTGAGGAATTTAATGAAGCTGTTGGCAGCGATTCGAACAGTGGAATTCGTTACTGATAGTTCTTCCCAGGCCAAGCAGGCACACCAGTGAGGCTCGATAAAAGCATCAGCGCAGGTCCTATCCAACGGAATTTTATCGAATAAACTGATATCACGTTGGCTGAGATCAGCCACCTGCGGTGTCTTCACATTTAAAATACTCTCCAGTGTTTTGTGAACATCGAAAGGAGTTGAGAGGTGTCGAGTGTTGTAGACGAAATTTGCGTAGGCCTCAGGGTGAACCTGTTTAAACCAGGGTGGAAATGTAAACGAGAAAAAGGGGAGACGTTCCTCTTGCTTCCCTGCCAAAGTATTCCTGATCTCTGCAAATCTGTGACCATGATCGCTCATCAAGATGAGAATCGTGTTGTTCAAGTGTCCCTGCTCCTGCAAATCCTTGACCCACTGATAAAGATCATTATCAGCCACTCCAATGTCATTGTAGGAGTCATGCGATAATTCTCCATGGAATCCAAACACGAACTTCGGTTTGTCACGATAAACATTATAAATATTTTTAATGTAGTTCAACATCAGCATGTGCCGAGGAATTCCACCCAAGCAAAACTTCTTGGAATTCCTAAAAAATGGAGATGCTGCTAAATAGAATGTCCTCATATAGTGGTCAGTAGGTTGTTGATCGAATCCCTTCAATCTGTACGTAAAAGTCCCAATATGATGCACATCCTCCATGAACCCCGTGATGTATCCATTTTTTTTGTACTCCTTCCAGATGAGTGGGTAGACGTCAACATGATTTGCTTTTGGACCCATTCGTTTACGAGTCTCTGGCAATTCCAATTCGATTTTTCCTGTTAAAATTGGAATGAGGGCTTGAGGTGTGCCATCACCTATGATGTTATAGCCCTCGAGTACTTGAGTGTTGAGATTTTGTTTCAAGTAGTGATAAGTTTTTGGCAGCTTTCGAATAAAGGTATTACGGGAGAGTGAGTCGAAACCGAACATCAGAACATTCAGTTTCATTCCAGTGTCTGGAACATTCGCCCATGATGTCGACTTCATGACATCTGCGTCTTGTTTCACTCCAGCCAATACACTGTGCCATCTGGAGCGTTATAAAAATCCACGTGATGTTAATTCCCGTATTTATCATATAATAAAAAAAAATCCAAAGGACTTTTGATGATTTGATTTGTCAATGCAATTTTATCAAGATTTCAGGACATCTTATCATTATATATACATACTGTTTTCCACTTGATGCTTGACATTTCACGTCTACAAAATCGCTCAGATGAAGAATATAAACGTCATCGGATTCCTGAGCAGGACTAAGCTGAACGCTGTAGTCATCCAGTCTGAGGATCTCTTTAAATATAAAAACCAGAATTTACTCCGTCAAATTATTTCCCGATGAATTTTCGTCAATGTTTCATGAGTACTCATGACATTGGATATGAATAGACAATTGTTTTACCACTAAAAGCGCACGTTATGGATCCATAACGTTCCACTGCCTTCTCTTGGATAGAAAGTTTCGATCCCTCAACCGTTACCCAATCCTCAGACGAGCAATTAAGAGGAGGTACATCATGAATGAACTTCAGAATTTCCGGATTATTAACGTCTAACTCAGGAAGCTTGCATGCCTCCACACCATCATCCAGATGCTGCTTCTGACTCCCAAACTCTTTTATCAATTGCGACATGTGCAGTCTACAGAATAAAACGTGAGAAATTATATTCTATAATTAAAAAAAAAAAATACTTGAAGCTGTTTGAAAGAAAAAAAAAGCGACTGTTAAATCTGAATGAATAATCATCTCCATTTAATTTAATCACGTTATTTATAAATAATTTATAATTGACTTACAACTTTTCATTGTTTGACAGATCATTCTCTCGTAAGCATAATTCAGACCTCAATACTTGAATGACACAGAAGACCAAAGCTGTCAGCAGAATGATGATAATTGGACGTCGGAAGTGGCGTGATGCTATCCTCATTTTTTTATTATTTCAATGTTATACCTGAATTGAAAAATACCATGATTAATTAATTTATCAACTCAATAAACTCGGATGATGACCGAGATCATGACACACTGAGAGAATAATTCTTCTGCTGAATTTATATACTTCAGCCAATTAAATATATCTATCATCCAATATTTATATTCAAGCATGTGGATTTTCGTCGATTTGTCGGATGTCGATTTTCGTTTTTCGAAAATATAATCATCGTTGGTACAACAATTAAAAATATCACATACATCTTTATCCAAATAATCTCTCATAATTCGGTATCCCGCGGGATTCCATGATCAGTCTACTCATTAGCGAAAGGATTTTAAAAGTTTAAATTTTTATAATTTCCTATTATTTCTATATAACTATTTCCATGTCCTCCATTTTTTATTATTCTCCTTTCCATATTAACGGCTTGCATTTATCTTCATTATTGAAAATGTCACGTAGAGTTGACCAGAAGTAAAAAGATTGCCTTTGTCGTGTTCTTTGCCATCTCTTAACTTTCATAAGTGACTAATGCTATTTTTTATGATCTCGCAATTCCATCCGACTCGAAGCTCCGGATGATTGTGGTAATGGTAATTATCAATTAACCTTTCATGATCCCAAAGACACTAATGCCTTGATAACTTCACTCAGACCTGCGCTTGCATTCTCACACTGAATTATTCTCTTCTTACTATCGAACGATCAATCAAAATATTTAAGTGGATAAAAATTATTGCAATTATGTATTGATTATATTCGTCGGTAAATTCTGTTATAAAGTAAGATAAACTGATTAAAACAAATGCTAAAACTCATTATCATTTAACACATTATGTTGGAGGCGGGATAATGATAACGACATGCGAAATTAAATTCACATGGAATTAAAATTATTTCGATACTATGTTTCAATTAACAATATTCGCCAATAGTATGGGCTTTGTCTTTATTTTTTTATCTATAGTTTAGCCAGAGCCTGAGGTTTTTTACTTGTAAATAACGTATACATAAAATTATCTTGAGACTGAAACGTACAAAAACATGAAAAATACGTGAAGTAAAAATGCTATCACTGAAATAATTTGATTTATCAAATCATTAATGATATCTCAGGAATTTGTAAAAAATGATAAACTATCGGTAATAATTAATTCATCATCTCATTAATTCCCAACAAGCGATCACTCAACTGAAAAATATCCAGAATAACTCGAGGTCAACATTACAAGATTTATTCACCCAATCATTTAGTAACTCACATGAAGTTTTCCAATGAACTCGAGGTCTCCCGTTGGAAAACGAAATGAAAATACAAACATGAAGAAAATTATAATCCAAGTGAATAGCACTTTGCACTCGTTTGGTCTGTGATTTCCATTTCACGTGCTACTGAGGGAATTTCCGAAGCTTCGATTCATTCAATGATATTTATGAGAATTTAATTACAACGGGGAACGCAGTTGTTGGGCTATCGGAGGTAAAATAGAATCATTAAAAATAGCAATCAACCGGGAGGCGGATTTAAGGATATTCTACACCCTCTCCTCCAAAATTCCCCTTCCTTGAATTTTTCTCGTAAAATTGGAATGGGATTGACATGAAAAAATATTCCATTCTTGCTTTCGTCATCACCTAATTTTCAAACCGGTGGTAATATTCCCCAGCGTTGTTTCTAAATGTTTAAAAATAATCACAAAACATTAAAAAAAAGGCACATAAAAATTATCGCGCCACCACGACACATCGCGAGCCATTAAACAACAAAACGGACAAGCGTTATATTTTTTTTTGTCAATCCCATTAATAATTACTTAGAAAAAAAATGTTAAAATTTTGAGAGAGTGCGTACATCCGGTAAATTACACCGGTTGTAATTTTTTCGTAGATACAACATAAACCGAGGTATTGCCACCGAATGCTGGGGGGTGGGTCGCTGATATGTGGATTGTTGGTGCACAGACTGATTCCGCGTGTTCAAGTTCTCACAGTTTGTAGCCAACTGATAGAACGGTGGATTTTCTCGGCGTCTGCGTCGTCCATTTCCACAATGTTCAACCCGGCCACATTGACGTTTATTCCTCCCTTTCCTCCTCTCCTTCACTTCATGCACTTCGATCCGCCTTGCTGAGTCTACACAAAGTGTTCACATGCATTTGTTGATGGGGGAAATTTATTGACCGGCGTTGAGGGATAGGGGATCACTCCCCCACGGAAGTGCAACCCTCACCATTTAATTTCGAATTCATTTCGAAATATCAATGGTTCACATTCAAGACTGAGGAAATTGGATTGGGTTGACGATTTAATGATTATGCGGCAAGTCTCTCTGGAAATAGTCCATTCGCTGAATCTTGTATTGTGTATCGTGTGCATTTAATCAATGATTGCATAATCATGTTGTACCTTGCGATGAGCGATTCAACTCTAGAGGAAATCTCGGTGGAGTAATTCATATCGCGACGGATTTGCGGATTTTTCATATTGATTAAAAAAATTATGGGGGGGGGACTTTAGGGGGGGACTTTAGGGGGGGACTTTAGGGATTTTTTTGCTCGACACTTAACGCATTCGGTTATCGCATGATTTTTTTTCCGTATATTCTTTCAGAAAAAAAAATCGAATATTATTTACCTGAAGATGAAGTTAAGCCAAGAATGATGAGTTTAGTTCCAGAATCTGGATTCACGAAGCTATTCTGAAGGAGAAATTTCCACGCCATGGAACGAAGTTAAATCTCCTTTCCTGATAAAAAAAAAGTGATCGTTCAATTGGATTGATATTTTCTTTTTTAAATATAACAAATAAATATGAATATTCACTTCTGTCGATGGTACACTCCATTCACTGTAATTATCCTGAAGATTTTCTTCCCTTTCATTCTGGTAACTCAATTTTATCGGTCGCGATCTGTCGTACACAGCGACGAAACAAGTGGGTACAAGACAAATTGGCACGATAATCATTGTTAAAAGCCAAAAGGATGGAGATAGATAGAGTTTGTGAAAGACCCAGTACATTCCTCCACTGAATGGCCTGAGAGAATGAAAAGGGACCATTAAAAATGGGACATTACCAGATTTGAAGGTAAAAAACGGTAAAATTTTACTCACGGATTTAAAGACGAATATAGACTTGTAATTACGAAGAACGCAAACTCTGAGAAAACAATACTCCCAACAAACGGAACGGTCCAGAAATAACTCCGCAAAAGAATCTAAATAAAAAACAATAATAATAAAAAATGGTCTCCTGTGGCTATTTTGAGCTTTCAGTTTTGGTCTCAGTACCTGTAAATTCGTGACTAGAGTAACCATGTGAAAAATACAAGTTCCAAATCCATCGTAACCAGCGTCGGTGTTGTCGTAAAGATTTACAGGATTTGTTCGCCAAAAAAAGTAGACAGAAAAATAAATCACACATGTGTGCCACACAGCTGCAAAATAAGTTGCAATCATACGCAATAAGTGGCACCATTCCGAGAACATAAAATACCAAAATCGCTACAAAATGATTACCTGTTAATAACCAAATGATTGTTTGATAGATAGACAACAGGTAGTTCTTCTTATTTAGTAGATAATACTGGGAAAAACGTTTTAACGTTTCTGCTGTGTAATCTTGCTCGAATAGGCCGAACATGAGAACAGGGAGGGACGTAAAAAATAAATTGAATCCCATGAGAAAAATACTAGAATAGAGAGCCTGAAAGAATAAGAAGAGATAAATTGAGTATAAATTCCTCAAATAAATTGAGTGGCAGTCGAATCATTGATTCGCATATTCCATTTCGGTCAATAATTCCTGGTGTGTACCTGAGACGAAAATCCACTGTGAAATCCGAATAACAGCTGTGGAGTTATGAAAACGATATTTTTGTAGAAGAAATACTGCGTTAAAATACTGAGCCTGATGTAGTACCAGTGTCCATGGACCAGCAGTGCTTTTTGGAGATGCATGAATTTTGAGAATGCGAAATCCGCACTCATCGTGGCTTGTCTCCCCTCTTTCCCCATAATTCCAAGTCCCACATGGGCTTCCTGGATCATAGAGACGTCATTGCCCCCATCGCCAATGGCCGCAGTCAGTGGACGTTTTTTGGCGTTCTTCACTAAATGAACAATCTTTAAAAAAAATTTGAAAATTGCAATTTCCCTCGTTAAATTAATTCTTATTTCTTAATCTTAATTCCGTAATTATTTTTTTTATTAAAACATTCCAAGTGCATTACTTCGGATTTTTGAAGTGGAGACATTCTACAGCAGACGACAGCATCACAGGACATCGCCACAATTCTCAAAAGCTCGGGGCAATGTTTTATTGCAATTGTTAGACTAGATCCATCCATCAACAAACCATACTGCTTACAAGGTTCTAATTTCAGTCTTCGCCTGAAAGAGTAGAAACTCGAGTAATGGAATAATCTGAGTCAGAAGAGATTATTCGAATAATTGTTTAAATTATTTCAGCCATAACTGGACCATTAACTCAGTAAGAGAATAAATTTCCAAAACTCACTCGAAACTAGTCAACGTAATGAAACACATTTGGATTGTGATTTTGCCCATGAGTTTTAAGACATCAGTTCCACTTTTGAAGTGTCCACATGAAAATGCTATGTTCTCCGCAGTCTCTGCTTTATCTCCAGTTAAAACCCAGACCTGATGGAGGAATATCGTGAATAAACTGGCCACATCGAATAATATTAATTGCACCCATGAATTACTTTGATTCCTGCTACCCTCAAAGCCTCCAGAGTCTCTTCCACCCCCTCCTGTAGCCGATCTTCAACCCCAGTAGCTCCAAGCAATGTTAAATTATTCTCAATCAAATGGTAAGCTTTGTCTATCCGTTGCGCACGATCAGCTCCAATTATTTGTCTTGCTTGTTCAATTGCTCTCGATAATTTATCATATTCTGCAATTGTTAATTTTTTGTAGGCCACAACGAGTGTCCTGAGTCCTCTCTAGAATTAAATCAAGTGCAACTTGATAATTATTTTTCATGATAACTATAATCCTATAATAATAATTATTATTATTATTATTATTGTTAACCTTGGAAAAATCTGCCAAGTGACTTTCAGCCTCTGCAATCTTCCCATCGGCAATCAGAGACAACATTTGTGCATCTGCTCCCTTGCTGTACAACCAGAGATCTCCAACCGAATCTTCAACGATTACTGACATTCTTTTTCTGTCTGCAATAGCATAATTATTTTTCAGATCTCTTGATTTTTATTTTTAATTGATATGATTATTTTTACCTGACGTAAATTCCAACGTTTCTAACTTCGTGAAGAAGAGAATTTTTTCTCCAATTTTGAGTTCCATTTCATCTCCACTGTATTTCGTCAGAACAACACCACATCTTGCTGTCGCTTCCACCAGTGCTTTTTCATCAGCCGAAGCAGCCTTTTATTTAATTAGTAGCAAATGGTTAATTTCAATTATCGTTTTCTGACTTTCATGAATATTCTAATCATTGAAATTTGTCGAGTACAATTTATTTCAATTATCTAATGAGGGAATTATCGACGAAAATTTTCACCTGATACTCTGGTAATGTTGGATCCATCAGGAGAGAACTATTGACTCTTGTAATCGATCGCTGCCTGAAACTCTCTCGGAAAGCTGTTCGTTTCGCTGCGATGCTCTGCATAAGGACCCGGGGCGCGACGTGAACGGAATGGCAAAGTGAAATGGCAATCATAAAGTGCCAAATTTCAGTCTAAAAGTAAAAATAAAATATTCCAAAGCAATTATTTCTGATGAACTGCAGAATCCCATCGAGTTCCATCAAGAATTCAATCAAAAAAATTTTAAAAATCCACTAACAACTCCCCGAAAAAATCACCAATCAATATTTTCATAATTAATATGATATAATGGCTGTTCTAAAATTTTGGGAGGTGATGGAAAAATAATTCAGGCATTTAGCCATTTCGCCTCACAATATTTTATGGAAAAATTACCGGCCAAGTCTGAATTTTCACTGCCTCCCTCTCATCGCCGTTTTCAGGAATGGAATACAGTTTCCCATTACAATCTTTTTCTAAATACATCTTGCCATCGATCGAGCATCGTCGAAATACCATTAAATTCTCCGTGAGAGTTCCAGTTTTATCAGTGAATAGATACTCCACTTGCCCCAGCTCTTCATTCAAGTCAGAAGTATTCACCAGTGGATGAAGATTCTCCCTGTCATCGTCCATTTCCTTGTCCCATCGAAAAAAATATGAGCCAAGGAATTTCTGGAGTTCTACAATTTTTCATATCAATTTTTATAATTACCGCCCTTTCAATTAAAATAATTGAGTGACAGTTCTGTTAATTTTGGTAATTCTGGTTGAATTAATTGATTGATTTGAATAATTTTTATTTGAGGTACTTACCAATTGTCACATACAGAGATATGGGTACCAGATAATTGTATAATACTGTAAATGTCAAGATGTTATTCAGTAGTTTCGAAAAATTAACGGTTTCGAATTCACCGAGGTAGCTTCGCCACTCCTCATTAACTTCGATGAATTCCTTGAGGAGTGTTGAAGCCATGATCTCAAACACCATCACGAAGATGAAGAAAATCAAATAATTGTTGATCGATCTGGAGGAAATAAAAAATAAAAAATAAGTAATTGCTGACAGAAATGAAGAATATACGGTTCGACACGATTAATTAATATTGTTAATTGATTTAATTATCATTATTCAATTTTCTTCTTACTTTTCAACAGTGGAAAATTTATTCTGGTTATTTTTAGCGTTTCGTGATAATTTCGTGTCTCTTCCAGTGTAAACTGCTGTTCCAATGACAAAGTCCGTGTTTTTCAACCGCGAGCCTCGGAGAAGTACATTGTCAATTGTCAAAGATCCCGCGAGGAACTCATCACTGAATTTCGCCTCAATGTTCCCAAAGAATTCGTACAAATTGGCAAGAGGATGCTGACACGTTACAGTAGCTTCCATCACGATCACCTCCTCCAGAGATTTACGAAGTGTTAATTTTGGCACTTGAATAGTCTGCGGAATCATAAAAAAATTTCAATGCCTCTAGTCGAAAGACTCATCTCTTTTATGCATTCAAAAATTTATTTGAGAATTGACAAGATAAAAATTGTTACTCGTTTAAATTCACTGAATAATTATTTGCCGATTACTCGGAATGTTTTATTCACCTTTAAATTGGTTTCTCCATCCAGATTAGAAGTTGTTACGTAACAGCAACCATTGGATTCACTACTGTGCAGCAAAATGAGATCACAGGGGACTTCTTCATCCCTGCAGACTTTGACCAAGTCCCCAACAACAATTTGTTCACAATGGATCACCTGAAATATATCAGACTGAGTAAAATTTTAAAAAATCCTCTTAGAATTACCCGATCAATCGGTCAACCTGGACGCATTTATTCCTGATTACTGTAACTGGAGTGCAATTGACCCGATCATCTGAGCGTTTCCTCTGAAAATCCTCGTAGCCCTGTTTGCCAGCTGTCACAAGAATCACGAAGAGAAGAGGTAGAAATGTCGTCAGAGGAGACACCGGAGATTCAATTGACACAGCAATTATCCCAGTCACGAGGAAATAGAAATTAGCTACCCTCCGGAACTGCTCGAAGAGATTCTTCGGGATGAAATTCCAAACTGTGTACTAATTAACACACGACGTCATCAAAATTAAATATAATTTCAGGAAATATAAACAGGGATTAATGAATAATTTTTTTATTTATTATCACGCAGAAAAAAAAATCAAATCAATGGAAAAAATAAATCTCAGGATTCTTTCGATTTATCAAGAAAATTTTTTACCTTATTAGATTTAATTCTATTGCGTGGATAAATTGTGATTGATGGGTCATTATTCGAATGAATCGTGAAGATTCTGTGCTCGGTGAGGATCGACGCATTGCTGCCCTGAAAATTAAAAAAAAACACTAAAATTTATATGTATTAATAAAAAAATACGCGACAGCTGCATCAATGCCACTCCAAATTCAATTTCAAGCCTGTAATTTCGCGCAGAATTCCAAGAGAATTTTCGCGGGTTCGATTTTCCCTTGATATTTTTTCCCTTCGAAATTTCATAAATTCAGAACAAATTTCTTTTATTCAATTAATGCGCTAAATTCAGTTGACAGGCGTAACGTCAAAATTTAATGCAGAATGATCATTAAATTTGGGGAATAAATTATTAATGGGAAAATGTTGAGGATTGTGGGACGATGGGAGAGTGGAATCCTCTGCAGATGGTGTTCGTCGCAGGGTGTCAGGTGGAAACGAGGGGCTGACTCTTTTCTCAACCCTAACAATAGCCAATACATAGAGGGTATGTACAATTCTTGGTTGAAGGACCCCGAGTCCGTCGGAGAGTCTTGGGACCGATATTTCAAGGCCACTGGGTCTCCACCAGAGGTGAAATCATCTTCAGCAGTCAGACTCTCAACCAAACCTTCTAATATGCCATCAGCTCAAATGTCAGGTGCATTTTTCCCTCTTTTTCCTTTTTTTCATCTTCTTTAAAAAATTCACAGATAATCGCTTCTTTAAAAAATTCAATAATATTGCAATATCGTAATGAAGGGTTCTGTTAATTGTTGAATCCTCAACTGATTTGAGTTCAAGTCCAGAATTACCGGAGAGTAATTACTGATTTTTATTTATCTCACAATCAGAAATTAGCCCACCTGGGGGCTCGACGGAGACGACCCTGGACATCGATGCAACGATTCGTGCATATCAAGTTGAGAAAATTAAATTGAAAAATCGATAGTATTGATTGAAATGGAAAAAATTATTGCAACAGGCTCGCGGACATCTGATAGCGGATACAGATCCCTTGGGCCTCCAAAATCCGGATTCAGCGAAGCTCCAGGGAACCTTCAACTTACCACCAGCTGTGGTAGTTCGTCAACACTTGAAGGGAATGACAGATGTTGATTTAGACAGAGAATTTCCTCTCGGCTCCCTCACTGTCATTGGAGGGGATAAAAAACGTCTTCCACTCAGGGATATTTTAATGAGACTTAATAAAGTTTATTGCGGGCATTTGGGCCTCGAGTACACATTTATCCCAGACTTCGGACAAGTACGAACAATAATCTAATTTCCTATAAATTTTCATTACAAAATTATTTAGGGAAATCATTTTCAACCTCCTTTCTTGATTGTTCGATGACTTTTCTATTTGCAATATAAATATATTTCCACGGATTTAATTTTGTCATTACGCTATCACGATTGCGATTGAAATATGAAATCCGAGTGCAGCTGGACTGGTTGAGACATAAATTCGAGATCCCAGGAGCTTGGGAGCTGCCACCAGACCACAGAAAAACAATTTGGATGAACGTGATGAGAGCAGTGACATTCGAAGGATTTTTGGCTAAAAAGTATTTGACAGAAAAAAGGTTCGGCCTCGAAGGATGCGAAGCATTTATTCCCGCACTTATCGAGTGCTTCGAGACATCCGCAGAAACCGGTAAAAAATCATTTCATGGATCTTTCATTCTACCGAATTCATTCAATCGTCACACTAACAATTGAAAAAAAAACCTGATAATAATAGGTATTGAGTCAGCGGTAATTGGTATGGCGCACCGAGGACGATTGAATACTCTAGTGAACGTTTGCGGAAAACCTTTGGACCAGTTATTCACTCAATTCAATCCAGTCCCCCTCGAGGGCCTTGGATCAGGAGACGTGAAGTACCACCTGGGGACCCATTCAGAGAAAATACTAGATCGTACAGGGAAAACTCTGCGAATTGCAATGCTAGCAAATCCCTCGCATCTGGAGGCAGTGGATCCACTAGTGGTGGGACGTGTGAGAGCAGAACAAGTTGCCCTGAACGACTTGAAGAGTGAAAAGTCACTGGCAGTTCTGGTCCACGGTGATGCTGCATTCGCAGGACAGGGGATCTGCTACGAAGTGATGCATTTAACTAATTTACCGGATTATACAACAGGAGGAGTCATCCACGCAGTCATTAACAATCAAGTATTATTTTGAATAAATGGACATGCAGAGTTGAATAATAAAAGATGATTGATCAATTGATTTTCATTATCTAGATCGGATTCACTACGGACCCAAGGTATTCCCGATCTTCTTCACACTGTACAGACGTCGGTAGAGTGGTCAATGCCCCGATATTTCACGTGCATGCCGATGATCCTGATTTGGTGGCATACTGCAGCAGAGTAGCTGCTGAATACCGATCTGTTTACCATAATGATGTCGTCGTAGATATCGTCGGTTACCGACGTAACGGTCATAATGAGATGGACGAGCCCATGCTAACTCAACCACTCATGTACAAACGCATTAAAAATCATCCAAACGTACTCACTATTTACACCGATAAATTAGTGAAAGAAGGAATTATTGACGAATCTTTCGTTAAACAGGTACTTTACATTTTCGTTATCACGATTTTTTATCAAGTCATGTTATAGTATAATAAATAAATTATGCAGGAGATAGAAAAATTTCGGGAGCATTGCGAGTCGGAATTCAAAAAAGCCCAGAGTATAAGTACAATGCAGATGAAAGACTGGCACGATGTCCCTTGGACTGAATTCTTTGCTAATCAAAGTCCGGATAATAAAATTCCGTCAACTGGAATTGATCGGAGCGATATAAAGAGGATATGCGAGGCTTTTTCGACAAAGCCAGATGACATTGATCCTCACTCGCAAGTTTTCAGGGTTTTCGATAGAAGGCGAAAGCTTGCGGATGCTCGTCAAGTGGATTGGGCCGTTGGTGAGGCTTTGGCCTTCTCCAGTCTCCTCAAAGAAGGTCATCATGTCAGATTATCCGGTGAGGATGTGGAAAGAGGCACTTTTTCACATCGAATGCATATCGTTCATGATCAGAATAGGGATAAAACTTGGAAAAATATGCTGAATAATGTATTTCCTGGACAGGCGTTGTACACTGTTACCAATTCACCGCTTTCGGAATATGGAGTACTGGGTAAAATCCTCTGGTTTTGTAAATGAATTGTCTAATTATTTTGAGAATTAATTAAGAATGTTCGCCACTTTTCAGGATTTGAACTAGGATATTCTGCATACGATCACAATACTCTGACTATATGGGAGGCTCAGTTCGGCGATTTCGCAAATAATTGTCAGGTGAGGGTCTCAAAAAAAAAATCTTGTCTGTCAAAAACTCCGGAATGACACGAGGCAAAATTCTACTCATGTGAATATTTTGAAAATCAAATGTAAAATCAAATTTTTCACAGCACTCCACATTTTTTTTTCTGCCATTTTGTTTTTTTTTATATATTCAGGTGGTGATAGACTCTCTCCTGTGCTCAGGCCAATCGAAATGGGGTAGGCAAGTAGGTTTAGTGGTTCTTCTTCCTCATGGAATGGAGGGCCAGGGCCCAGAGCACTCGTCAGGTCGACTCGAGAGATTTCTCGAATTATGCGACGATGATGCTACTCACGTGTCCGAGCAATTTGGAAAATCTTCCTCGGGCGACAGTCCGGAGGACATCATGACCCGACAACTCTTTGAGATCAACTGGATCATTTGCAACCTCACAACACCCGCCAATCTCTTTCATGCCTTTAGGAGACAGATCCTCATGCCATTTAGAAAACCTCTGGTTTGCACTTGTCATTTTTCAAATATATACTTTCTAACTGCACTTCCTCAATATCGCGACTGGTCTTTCATATTATTCCACTGGCTCGCTATTTGCTATCGTACATACGTTATCTCCTGCATGAACATGACAACCGATAAGGATAGTTCTTGAAAAAAAAATGAATGCCCGCATTATTTCAAAGTATCCATTAAAAATTGCGTATTTTCCATTAAAATTCAATCATTTATGGGAACGCTTCATACGCATATTAAATCACTTGTGCTATTTTACAACTTTACCATTTTAATTTAATAATCTTGTATGTCCCTTGACGATTAGATCATAATGACTCCAAAATCTCTATTACGACATCCAATGGCTCAATCAAGTTTCGACGAATTTGAGACTGGCACAGCATTTCGGCCGATGTATCCCGACAAAACGACGAGTCCAGAAAAAATAAAGAAAGTATTAATTTGCAGTGGCAAAGTGTATTATGATCTGGTCGCAGCGAGAATCGAGCAGAAACTCGAAGATCAGATAGCAATAATCAGGATTGAGCAGATCTGTCCCTTCCCATATGATCTTGTAGCTAGAGAGGTCTCAAGGTTCCCCAATACCAAGGTGAGACGACCCAGTGAATGGATAGATTTGTTCTGTCTCAATGATGACAGAATAAACTATTTAACATACCAATGAGATATCACGTCACACTATTACCTGGCTGATAATATTAATGAACAAGTAATTGTTCCCGTCATCCCAGGATACCTGTTTCAGGCCCCTCCATTCCCATTCCCACTGATTGTTTTTTATAATCAATGTAAAATATTTATTCCCACTTACTGATATTTTTTTATTGTAAAAGAGTCTGCCAATGATCAACTAGAGAATTTTATGGTTGCCCAGAAAATTTTTGAAATTTCGAAATGCATCGTGATTCCTATTCATTGCTTCGAAAATTTCCTGCTATAAAATTTTTCGATTAAATGCCGCTGAATGTCTTTATGATAATTTACACACAATTCCTCTCATTTGAATTTCAATTTGTAAATTACTCATTTCTTCAGATAATTTTTTTATTTATGAAGACAAAATTCTTATTAAATCAACCGTGAAAAAATTTCACGACGAATTTTCTGCGGGTTATTTTAATTGGTTTTATTATTCCAATATTAATTCGGTATTAATATTAATAAATGTTAATGAATTGGAATTGGAAGCCAGAACTTTTCGAGAAGAAAAACGATAATTGTTCTTTTATCACAATCGGATTTCGAAATTTCAAAGTTTCATTATCTTTTTTTTCAGATAATGTGGCTCCAGGAAGAGCACAAAAATCAAGGTGCTTATCACTACGTTCGAGATCGTTTGGCAACGGCCTTGAAAGTGCCCTTGGAGGAGATAAGCTACGGTGGTAGACCGCCTTCATCAGCCCCAGCAACCGGAAGCAAAATTATTTTTAAAGAACAGTACAATGACATGCTGAATGCCGCAATGTCCATTATCCGATGAAATCATCAAAAAAAAAAAAATTCCATTGATAATGTACTTCCAAATTTATCAGTCTGACTCACCCCAAGGCACAGGTATCTTCTATGTTTGTTAAACCAACGGAGGGATGTATTTTTCTGCATTAAATTCGAGTCACCACTATTCGTAATCACTCAATAAATCACGGATGCTCTATATCCTTTCCGTAAAATTACGATGGGATTGATGTAAAGAAATATAACGGTAAAAACTTTTGAAATTCAATGGATTATATTTCCCCGCTTTTATCAATGATTTAAAAAATATATATTCAATAAATTATCGGTATTTCAGGTGTTATAAGTCTGTTACAACCATTCTATCATCTCCGAAGGATGAAAAACTACTGAGAGAATCAACGGAGCGTTAATGATTGTCGCAACACCAACGCACAACACCAGCACGCGTATGAATCCTAATGAGTAATTCGCACATGGAAAATACGAACTGTTTATTAACTCATGAGATACAATAACCATGTATTCTTCATTTATTGACCATGAAGGAGATTTTTTTAATACGCAGTGTACCTCAAAACGACGCGTAATCGACGAAGAAAGTAAAAGTTTAATCGAGTAACCGATGGATTACTATTCATCAGGGGAATTTTTTAATTACATCTTCATGTAATCTTCATTACATTTCTCAAATCGTCATCTCGATAAAATCATAGATGAAAATTAATATTAACATGCACCTAATACACGTGTATTTTTTTTTTTACTGAATATGGGTGTGCACGTTGATCGATGCGCGAATCGACCAGGAAAATGCTAAAACAGGATTTAATTTTCCTGTGAAATTGATTGCCGTCAATCAATCTTTTCCCGTATATCCTCCAAGAATTACGCGATTTTTTATTTTTTGTACATTTATATAAATATTCTTATAATTTAATTGGAATATTTTTTATCCGATGAAAAGACCTTTAAAGGCCTTTTCTGGATATCTGATTGCATTTATCTTCACGTAATTGAATGCAAAGTGGCGAAAAAGTAGGAAAAATATTGAAGTAAAATGAGAATTATACAATGCAGTCTTTCAGCGTCGGCGCATGGTGACGCATGCAAAAAGTTTAACAATTAAAATGACTTGCCATTTTCGAAGAGTCGATGCAGATGTATTTTCGAGCCTATTTGGTAATTGTCAGGAGTAATTACACAAGCTTTTTTCATAAGACGATGAAATTGTTCTGCGCGTTTAAACGATGGGAGATGGACTGACTCAAGTATCCGCTATGATACATTTCTTTATCTCATAGATTGTTAACGCCACTTTTTCTGCGAAGTGTTTGACAGTATTCTCTATAATCGAAGCTCAGAGATAACGCTGATACTAGGAAATTAATTCTGTGTTTATCAACGGATTTTGCAAAATTGGATGATCAAATCTTACTGCATGGCTCAACGAGAGGATTCTTAAATAAAAAAAACTCAAAAATTCTCACACTGATTGACTATTTGAAATTCGAGTTTTTGAAATTTGCATCGTTTAAATTTTCAGTGAGAAAAAAATGAAAATTCAAAATGGTCAATCCAAAATTCAAAATGGTCAATCGAAAATTAAAAATGATCATCCCCATGCCCTTCCTCATTACCACGATAATTTCTCTGAATGAAATGTCATTATTTCCTAAACAGTCTTTTTGATTTTATCCAGTCACGATCAATCAAGTGAATTTAAATCTTCGCGGACTAATTTAGTGAGAAATATGGTATCAATAGGGACCCTAGGTCGCAAGTTCGAAATCCTTGAACATAAAAAACAGTCTGTTGACTGCAGCAGTACTTGTTCCACTGGGAAGTGGAAGCCGACAATCAGTAAAATCCAGAAATGCGGATCAGTATGGCGGCGTTCGGCGTGCGCATTGTGTCACCAGTTGCGTAATAATAGTGATAAAATAGCCGTAACCCTCGTGATTCTCGCCAGAAATACTCAAGACGTTTCGCAAGTGTCTTAAAATCCCATCGAACCCCACCAATAATCCATCGATCATCTTTTGGTGAGGTTAAATCGCCGAAGGCACGGTGTCACTGGAGGATACACTGCTATGTCGGAGGGTCTCGGAGGAATTCGCTAGTAAAACTGAAAAAAAGGATGAATTCACGAGTTACGATAGCCAAGGAAAACGTGCTACAACGGTAACGAACACTCTATCTTCCATGGATCAATTGAAGATTGATAAAATGTCGACGATCAAGACAAATGGCACTGGAGCTGCCAGAACATCTCTTCCTGTTCTCAGTCATTTTAAATCTGAACATCTTGTTGCTGGATTCTCTGGGGGAGTCGTTTCTACTCTTATGCTGCATCCCCTCGATCTAATTAAAATTAGATTCGCAGGTGTGTACTTCATATTTTTCCTCTTTTAACAACTGACACATCATTCCAAGAAATTTTTTATTATCAAGATGAATCACGAAATAAACTCGTCATTTCAGTTGTCTGACGAAATATATTTTTATACTTTCTGTAATTTTTTATTATTCTTCAAATTATTGGACAGATGTGGCAATTATTGAACGGCGGTTTTTCAGATCGTTTGAAATTATTTGGACGTATAAAAAAATCGAGGATCTTGGTCTCAACGAAAGAAACTGGTGGTTTTATTCGATAGAGTAGAGTGTAGTGAATAATTCTTTTGGTTGAACCACGTGTTTCTGAATTTGACCTCAATTCGAAGATTATGACAGACCTGACCTTGCAGTCACTATCACTCGCCATGAGAGAATGTCTTAATAATTCTATATTATTCTTCCCGACGAATCCGATCGCTGGAAAAATTTCAACATCACGTGTCAAAATATCAGACAAAAAAGGAGTCAATCGTACAATATAATGAGTAATTACCCGAGATTTCTGTGATTATTTCCGGTCAAAGAACTTTACCCATATCACGAGAAAACAGACAGTCTACCACAAATATGAAAGTTCTTCGTGACCTTTACATCTCTACATTTGTTATTACTTCACCATTCACGTGAATTCCATCTGTCGTACGCCACGTGGCTGTATATATTCACCTTGTGACGTCAATTTATCGAAAATAAACTGCTGACGGTTTTCCCATCGTGGGCAAATCGAAATTTCTAGAATTTCCAATGATTATCTTTCAACGAAATAATTAAACAA